TGTAGTATCACACTCTGTATTACGTGGTAGTTTTTTATCTCGCTAGAGGGCGATAAAATTTAAGTAACGCAATGTACAGAAATATTTCTGAATCCCCCATTAAATTACCTTTTCAAAGATTATACATGGTACCTTACCTATTTAAAATTAAGGTGTTGGAAAAGTGCAAGGGAGGGGGTTGACACATGACAGATGTATGTATTGAAAACACGTTTTTAATTTTGAATAAAAATCGACCTGTTTTAGCATTTTCTAAAAATCCAATGATTAATGCCGAAAAACAGGATGAAACTGTTTTGAGTGACCCACTCTGTATATCAAAAATGGCTAGATTTATCGAATTAGTTCATGGAACAAAATCTGCTTAAAAATGCATTTTTTACAAGATTGAGTCCCCTACTTTTTAATATTTATACCGCCAGTTTACATAAAATTTGTTTGATTAATATACCATTTAAAGTCATCCAATATGTAGACGATATATGTATCTATTTATTTTGAATTCTATAATCCGAAAGTTTTAATAAACCGAATGGGGTCTGTAAACTTTCTGTTCGGACCACCCATACATTACTGTCGAGGGGTAAAGACATCCAAAAAATGTGTACACAAGAATTCCTATCATAAATAATAACTGAGAATTTTCGGGAATAACGGAGAATACCCAGATACTTCCCGGGAATACCCAGAGTAGCTGGAAATACGCAGTGAATACCTGGAATACTGAGTATATCCAGGTATTGACCGAAAAATATATGAGAATAACCAAGCATTTCTAGGTTTCTGTAGTTAGTAAATAAGGTCCTTAATGACGTCCTTAAAATATTAGGAAAATAAACACTTGTTCCAGATTTTAGCATTTTTTCCCTCAATTTAGATTATATTTTACTTTTGATAAAATATGAGAAAAAAAAGATAAGATTTTAACTGTGGGAAAAAATATATTAACTTTGGAAAAAATCATGTTAATAAATAATATATTTAATTTTTTAACATTTTGCTTCATTAATATTTGACAAATTAATTCACATAATAGTAAAAAAAAAAAAATTGTTATTTTTTGACATCCTCATAATTTAAATATTTTCTAGCACCATATAGCCAAAAATTCAAATCTGACAAAAATATAAAAATTACTAAGTAATGTTTTATAAATTTTTATCGTGATATTTTTTATTTATTAAAAAAAAAAAAATACAATTTAGTATATTTTTAATAAAAATCCGAATATGATGAATTCCTTTTTGACTGTTTGTTCTTATTAGGCCAATAATAGTGAAATAAAAACTTTATCCCATGCAAGTCATCATTTCTACTTTGTATATTATCTTTCCAATGTACCATGAAACATCGTAGTAGATGGCTTAATATTTATCAGTTTCTATTTTCTATTAAGGGTGAGATTATAGAACGTCTGCAACTTTGCAGATCTGCAAATATGGCGGCAACTTTAAAAATCTGCAAATATGACTGACTTAACATGCAAGTATCAAGTTTTCGTATTCCAAATTTGTGTTTAGTGTTGTTGGGGGTAATAAACCACCATAAATATTGCGAATTTGCAGATATTTTTTGGAATACTTGCATTTGTAAGCCCGCCATATTTGCAGATCTGCAAAGTTGCAGATCTGCAAAGTTGCAGACGTTCTGTAATCTCACTCTAAATTGACAGTGCTTTTCTTGTAATTTTTAGAAACGGAAAATTCTGGGACTCCCTTAACTCTTATAATCCCGTCCGATTGCTCCTCTAGTAACCAACATAATGTTGTTTTTCTAATTGTTTTATTTCCAATTTTTATGTTCACTACATTTTTGTTTTAGTATCACTAACATTCCAAAAAGTAAAGTTTTTCAAAATATTTCCTTCTTCAGAAGTGGCCTCAGCTTAGACTTTAATAATTTCTTGTTCTCTGTCAGCTTCACTTTCTGAGGTAATATTTTGACCTTCAATTGTTATTTCTTTCTTTTAGGTTTTCATTTATACTTAAATCACCATTCGAATCACTGTCAGAATGAACGTTTTCCTTGCCTTCTTCATAACATTTTATGTACTCTATATTTTTCCAACTGTCTTTATATACAGACATATTTAAATTTTGACAAGACATTTTAACAACATTTAGAGCATCATTAACACATTTTTCAATAGCTGTTTTATTTAAAAATTTGTTTAAGTTTGGGTCTAAATTATGTTTATAACTGTTCTCTCTAAGGAATATAAATGTGTCCGATAAATTTGTTATACAGTTTTTAATGTATTCTATCTTATTGGTTCTCTCAATTATTTCTAACACACTGAAATTAACAACTGTTGAGAAAGTGGATGTCATGGATAAATCTCATAGCTCTAAATAGTTTTTCACATGGTTGAGAACTAAATAGCCATGGTAAAAACATTTCTTACGAAGTATTTACATCAATTTGTTTATTTTCCTTAAAAAAATATTTAACTGTATAATAAAATGTGCATTAAGTTTCACCCATAAGTAGCTATTTAATTTTATGAAATTATTTGATAAAACTCGGATTTTCTTCAGAAATTATTCATCACCTCCAAATTCGTAAAAAGAACAACACAACATACAATAAATTCTAGTATAAATCGAAATATTTTTATCCAAAAACGCCACTTTTATCTTGTTCATTAAATTTTGGTATTCAAGGGTTCCTAGTGCATCAGATTGAGTTTTTAACAAATTTTGCACCATTTCAGAACACATCTTTTTTGAATCTTGTATCAGATCAACTAAATCATTATTTTAAACTTCAAATGACCATATTACCTTTTTTTTTATTTGTTTCTTATTTTCATTTTTTCTTTGTCATTCTGGTTATGTTTAAGGTATGATTTTAGCAGTCTAATCCTGAATTTTGTCATTATATTTACAGAATCTTGGATACAAATACCCATTAAGAGGCATGTGAAACCAGTCCCATGTATCATCACAAAATTGTTTATCAGTCTTTTGGAAATTTGACTTAATTCGCATGGCTTTTAATAAGTGGCTATCACCATCCAATGAAAATTCAATTATTGTAATTCCATGTTTGCTTATTTCTTTTTGTAAGAAATCCCATCTTTTAAGAACCTCTTCGTAAGTAAAATCTATTTGTTCTAAACAAATTAAGTATAAATGAAGTTTTATGATCTTTTAATGGTTATGCCATAATAACCTAGACATACTTAGTTTGAGAATTTTCAAAATAACTTTGAAAAGTATCTGCATTTGTGGCAGGCTGATTTTTTTTTGAAAAACCTGTGGCATCGAAGGGACTTACAAATCCAACTATGCTGTCATTTTCTTTATTGTATTGAACTTTGTAATTATGGTTCCATCTTCACTAATCCAGACATATAATGGCAAATTATTATTTTGGAGATATTCTCCTAAATCTTTCATACACACATCCAACTCAATAAACAATGGTAATTTTTGTATATACTTTCGAATTGTTGAAATTTATGGAAGCGAAGATTTCAAATTGGTAGCTAAAGTTTCATATGCTAATGGTAATTTCGTAAACAAATGATCTAACGCAATAATATACAGGGTGCTTAAAAAAGTTATATTTTGATAAGTTTTCAAATATTTTCTTACAGTGGGGATTATTTTTTTAAAAATTATACCTGAGAATTCCCTAAAAGTTGTACACAAGAATTCCCAATGTATTTACCCCTTGATTACTGTATTACCAAAATTAAAACACACAACTTTGAAAAACTGACAAATTTTCTTTTAAGTACATTTTTCTGAAACAATTCTACAAGATAATTCAGTTATCAGTTATTAAACTGTACCAATCTTTGTTGGTAATGAAGGTATTTTGTAAAGCATAATGATTGTATTCTTCCATTTATTTCACCATCTAAGTATCCTTTACTCTTAATTCTAGGTCTAATGTAAGTATTGACTTGTTGGATTGCTCCTGTCTACTGTAACATTTTAGTTGTCTATTTTAAATAACCTTTACATCAGTGATAATAAAAAACTTTTTAACCCCTTTAACCAGTTTTAAATATTACAGATGAGTACTTCAGATACTGAAAAAATCTTATATTTCTAAAATTATTAACAAATTCTTTGGATTTAACACAATATTTTAGTGCTTTAAAGTAAACAGTGTAGTTTTCAATACTAAATAAACTATCCTTCAAAATTAGGACAACAAAATTATGTAGGTATTTACATTTGTTTGATCTATCCCTGGCCCAGCACTTTTACTGTACCACTGCAAAAACTAATTTAAATTTATTAACATTCCATTTGACGTTTTTAGAATGAACTTTTTTTGTTCAAAACCGGGTTTAATGTGTGTTTAAGCGCTTTAGGTGTAAATGGAGTTCACGAGTCTACGAGAATCTAAAAATACAACATCAAGGGCAACCTCAAAATGAAATTTTCCAATCCTCCTTGAAATTTTAAAGCTTTTTTTCGAACAAAGAATTGCAATCAGCAATAATGGTCTTAAATTTAGCTTTAAATTAGTCATCCAACGCTGTTAAGTCATGTGCATGCATTTTTTATTTAAATTAGAATTCATAATGCACTCGTTAAGAACGTTAAGTGTGAGTAAAAATGCACTTTGTACTTTCAACAGGTTTGTATGTTTATTAAAACAGAAGGTCACAGGACTGTTATCTCTAAATTCCAAGAAACTTGCTCAAAATTGATAAGTCTACCGATGATTTTTTAAAGGCATGAGAGGTGTAACCTATTATAATTTACTATCTTTATAAACCGTGTTTCGCGGTTTTAGAATGCGATTATTATTAAACATAAACATGATACCGATATTAACTACCTGGAAACGCAAAAACAAACGTATTATAGAAAAACTCGATGAAAAAACAAACACGTCTTCAGTAATAGACAAAATTAATGCGCCATTTCTAATTGCACAACAAACGTTTTTCTATCATATACATTTGCCAGCGTTGTTACATGCAAACTAAATGTTATAAATAATTAATTGATAATAAAGAAATAAATAAACATTACCTTACACATAAGGGCGGATGTTAAATGACAAAATTCCTTCACACACTAGAAAAATTAGCAAAACATGGCAGCTAAGGCGCTACGGCCACTGCCAATCAGAAGAAGTCCCGCTTAAACTGCGCTTGGGCACATTCCGTTATCGAACGGCGCATGTCCGGACGTTATTTTATCGACTTTTCTTGCATTTCTTCTAGATCTAGTTTAAAAAACTTGTAATTATTTTTATTTTTTTTTTATTATTATTATTTTTGCGATAGTCTTTTAATTAATCTGAACAAGCGTCTGTCAGACGCAACACGAAATTTTGAACTGGCTGACATTGACTTTCATGTCACTTTCGTATGCTTTCGTGCTTGTCAAAAATAATTGGAACACGTGGCCGCTACATATTTTACATACCTTACCTCATTTTGAAATAAATTCCAGAGTAAACTATTTTACCATTGTTTTTTAGCAAATTTTATTTATACTAAATATAAGTCGATCATTTTTTTAATTACGATACCTAACTAATACCTAATTAAATGAAAATAAAAATTCCTTCCGGGAAAATTCATTTTGAGAAAATCGACTTCCGTTTTCCAGAAATGGGGTCACGCACGTGGCAGTGCGATAACTACGTATTTATACAATAAGAAACAATGCCCTACAGTTTACCAATTAAATATTAGTTAACAAGGGGGAAAGTAGGACATGTAATTAAAATTTCATTATGAAATTTAAAATTTTCATGAATTAGGAATTTAATTTCAAATAGTTACCTGTCCTACCGACTGAGCTGAGCGATGATAAACAAATTAAACTAATCACTAACAGATGGCGCTAGCTGGTCTTTTAAAGAATAAATTCAACATTATGATTATTTCACTAGTGTTTTTGATTCTTTCTCGTTTTTAGACTATATGATACGAACTGTGGTTTTTAGAAATGTATGAATTAGTTTGCTACATAGGTACAGGTTGTTCAAAAATTTGTCAGTTTTCTTTTCATAATTGCATAAATAGGTATATTAATGCGAATTTAATGTAGGACGATTTTAAAGCATTTAAACGATTTAAAAAATAACCGTTAGGTAGGTACCTACCTACTTAGGTATGTAATTAAAAAAATAGAATGACCTATAATCATTTTCTTCACGAGTTCTTAATGATTTCCAGATACATAATACTCTTAATTCAGTATTTTCGATGTATATTTATGAAAAACAAATTAATTATTTATCGCTTCGGTAATGTTGCCGGGTGCATGTTTACATCCACCAATTTCCTATGGCAACATAAACGGGAAATCGGACTATTATCTGGTCATATGTGAGCATTACTATCGATTTTCACACATACTAAGTTCCATCAAACTCAAAGTATCTACCTATTAGAAAAATTCCGGACGTACAAAATGTTACCGCGGTTGCAAATTATTAGGTTTTTAATAATTTTTACCGTTTTTATTTTTAGAAAATGTGAGGGGCAAACCACGCAAAATATAAATGTTTGTAAGTATTTAAATGTATGTACGTGTTGTTAAAATGTAATTTCACGAATGTCGGAATTATTAAAAAAATACAGATTGTATTCTATAGTAGTGTATTTTGTTTTTGATTCTACTAGGTGATTCCCCTAATGTGCTCTCTGTAGAAATGTTCGAGAATACTTTATGGAGCCACTTTACAGTTTTTCCTTTCTTCCAAGTAAAATTGTGGCAATTCGTATTACACGTCTGCTCGTCTGCGCACTAACATTTCCTTTCGATCAACTTTTGTATTTCTTCATTTTACTTGCAATGTACTACCTTAAGCCTGTATTTATAAACCGATCTCACCTGAGTTGTGTTTGCATCATCTGTAGAGGAAGTGGGGAAGTAAGGAAGCGGGCACAAGGGGGAAAGTAAACAACCCCTCTTATTCAGTGGCGTATAATTTCTCTGTAAGAACACACATTGTCCAAACTTTTTAATTGTGAAAAAACTAAATTATGCGTGAGTGATGCAGGAAATAAAACAAAATCACTGTAAAGTCCTAATTTTTTCAATTAAAGAATAAAACCTCAAAATCAGTACATCAATTTTATTATAAATAAATACAAGAGCGACCAGTTTCAGCCTCACAGGGACATCTTCAGGCCTATAATCCAATAATCCTTAATTATTATAATAGGAACAATATAAGAATAGGTTGGTCATTTAGGATTAAAATTAAATAGTATAAATCACAACAATGGATCCCTATTGTAGCATTACAGTATTGCAGAATTAAAACTGTGCAAAACGAAAAATAAAAGAGTCCAGCAAACATTTTGTGCAGGACAATAAGAGTCCCAGTAACTGTTACCCTCCAATTTTAATGATGGCCATTTAACTTTTATAATTAAAACGCCGATATATATATAGGTTACTACGGCCGACAGTCGGGCCGAAGTCACTTAGCCATTAAATCCAGTTAATACCCAGACAGCACAAAGACATCTTTAAGACGTCCATAAGACGTCTGTCAGAGACATGACAGACGTCTAAAAGACGTCTTATGACGCCGGCCAGACGTCTTAAAGACATCTTTAAGACGTCTGATGTTACAAAAGGTAACGTTCTTAAGACATCTTGAATATGTCTGATTTTCGACATTGGTAAGACGTACTCTTGGATTTAGTTTTAAACGTTTCTGTAAATTCTTTCTATACAAAATAAAACACATATTTTCTATAAACATTATTATTAACAAAATACTGAAACATTTCGTTAAAAAAAGTAATATTAGAAATTTTTTTTTTATTCTTCCTCCATTAGTGGTTAATCTTCTGTCTGATGCTCTTCTGATCCAGTCTGGGTTGCAATAATTTTAACTGCGCTGTGTAAAATATTATGCATTATAGCTCACTCCGTAAAATTCGTTTTAATAGGATTTTTACTATTTTTAGTAGAAAAGATAAATTGTAATAAATAAATTGGAATTGTGAGTTATAATAATGTCTAAGTATTATATAATAGTATATTATGCAACGATCATGTAATGATGGTTATTAATACACGAGCATTAACCGGGATACGAAACGAGCCAAAGGCGAGTTTCGTATGGTTTATGCGAGTGTATTAATAACCATTACATGAGAGTTGCATACGCTATTTTTTCTACACCCGATAAATAATCAAGAACTATAAATATTATATTCATATTGGTATTGAACACAATAACAATAATTACTCGTGTATTTCTATAAAAAATTCTACAAAATTGTAATTAATGGTATTACTTCGGGTATTGGTATTTCCCTAGATTTTTGCGGCAAAATATTTTGTACTGTATTTTCTGCTTTCTCCGATATGTGTGGAGGAGTCTTCTATATCGCTGATATCAGACATTTTAATATTATAATTAACGAAGTTTAGTTATCTACCAAAATTTAATACGTTTTGACAACTAAAACAAATACATAGGAACCTAGGACAAACGTCAAACAGCATGCTTGATTGAAAAATTGTAGGTTTCTATTGATTAAAAATCTGTATCGTAATGAAAAATCTGTATCGTAATGAAAAATCTGTATCGTAATGAAAAATCTGTATCGTAATGAAAAATCTGTATCATAATGGGTATCATTATGAAACGGATTATGGGCATATAAGTGCATTATTATAATACGGGTGTAGAAAAATTAATTAGTACGTTATAAATAAATTATTGTAGTGGATAATAATGGCTAAAAACCTGTGTGATTTAAAAGCGACGGAGTTACGTCGGGAATTAGAAGATCGTGAGCTGGAGACGTCATGGAAGACATAACTGACAGGGAGGCTTAAAGAAGCACTAGAAAGTGAAGGTTTGGATCCGGAAATGTATCTATTTTCTGATGATGCGTCTTCTATAATTTCTTCTTTGGAAAGTAAAATGTCTTCCATGAAAACCGATATTTCTTCTGACATTTCTTCTTTAGATAATAAAGTTTGTTCCATGGAAAATAAAGTTTCTTCAGATGTTTCTTCCATAAAAAATTATATTTCCTCATTAGAAACTAAAATTTCTCCAGACATTATTTCCTTAGAAAGTCAAGTTTCTTCCTTAGAAGAAAAGGTGTCTTCTGGCATATCTTCTTTAAAAACCGAAATTTCTTCCGATTTAGAAAACAAAATCTCTTCTTTGAAAGATAAAATTTCTTCTGATATGTCTTCGCTGAAAAATGAAATTTCTGGTGATGTGGAAAATAAGATGACATCCGTTGAGGAGAAAATTATGTTTTACAATGAGGAGAAAATAAAAAAAAGATGGAGAAAAAGATAGAAGAATTGGAACATATAGAACAGTACAAGGACAGTAAAATAAAGTGTCATGAGGTGGAGTTAAAATTGGAAGGAGCTGTAAACTCTGCTCGTGTTAAACCCCAACTTTTGACGGAAAGATGTCGTGGACCAACTACCTTAAACAGTTCGAGAAAGCTGTGAGAGCAAACGAATGGTCTGAAAGAGAAAAGGCATTGAATATGACAATCGCCCTTCGAGGAGATACTTTAGATGTTCATCAGACAGTACCTGTGGAAGAGACGGATGATTTTGAATAACTCAAAAAGAGATTGAACATGCGATATGGCCACGAACACTTGGAGCATTTATACCAGTCACAGTTACAGAATCGTAAATAGAAACGAGATGAGACTCTTCAAGAATATGAAGTAGATATTGCCAGGTTGGTGCGAATTGCGTACCTATAAGCTCCGGAAAACACGATGGACCGTTTGGCAGTCCAAACATTTGTTGATCGACTCCGTGACCACGAGATGCAGAAAACACTTCGTCTAGCCCGTCACAAAACATTGGTCGATGTCTTAGCCGCTGCCCTTGAATATGAGGCAGTTACGCAGGCTTCTGGAGGATACAGTAAAGTGAGGACTTTAAAAGAAGAAAACGTAGAAGATAAACTCGACCAACTAGTTAACATAATGAAGAGCTTTACTGATAAAAAGATGAAGATAAAGACCATCAGGTAAAAAGTATACACTAGCTGTTGGTGGATACTGGAGTAACTAGCACCATTATACGACCAACAACCATAAATAACCGTTAGAGACTTCTACCAACACGATTGCGACTGCGGACTGCCATATGTGAAAGTGCCAACATCCATGGAGAAATCCAGGTTCAATTGGCAATTGGTACAGACAAGTTCACTCATACTGTTACTTTCGCTGATATCGAAGAAGATGGAATGGATGTAATGAACTTACATGGTGTCCAGTTAGACTTTAAGAACAGAGTGATCAAAGTTGGTGCCGAAGAGGTATTCCTACACCCATATGGGGACATTACCATGCCAGTAGCTCTACAGGAAGACACGGTGATACCTGGTAGAAGTGAAACCATTATAGTAGCACGGCTTCAAGAAACTATGAAAGAAGGAACACCTGTCATGATGGAACCTTGTAACTACGATGGAGAGATTGGACGAGGTATTCTGATAGAAAGGGGTTGGTCACGACTGCTGAAGAAATTCCAGTCCGTCTCATAAACGTTAATGATCACTTGATTACCATCAGAAAGAGACCAGAATGGGAACTTGTGTACTAGAAACTTTCATAATTCATCAGACAACAACTTCTAATAATTCCAACGATAAAATCGAGAAAATGATTGTAGTTGCTGGTCAATCTCTGAATCAATTAGAGAAAAAGAAAATAAAGGAATTTCTTCGTCGATATCGTGACATTTTTGTACCAAAATGAGGAAAACCAGGAAGAACTTCTGTTGTAAAATACAAAATTGACACTGGTGAAGCCAGGCCGATTCGTCAATCAGCTCAAAGATTACCAAAGACCAAAAGAGAGGAAGCTGAAAGGATTGTTTAGGAAATGAAGGGTGATGGAACCTTCTACCAGCCCATGGGTCTCTCCGGTAGTCCTGGTCCAGAATAAGGATGGAATTACGAGGTTCTGTGTGGATTACCGTCAGTTAAACAATGTTACTAATAAAGACAGTTACCCTCTGCCTCGAATCGACGATACCTTGGACACATTGGCCGGAAGTAAACTATTTTCTACCTTGTGGTAATTCAATGTTATGCCATTTGGACTATGTAATGCCCCCGCGACATTTGAAAGACCTATGGAAAATGTATAGATGGTGAGTTCGGTCTACGCACTCTTTTCACTATATTCACTCCTAAAGTACCTAAGGCGTTCGGGTACGGAAGGAGTTAAAATAAAAGTTCCTCTTTGACCGTTCGAGATGGTGGAGTGGAGTGTGGATCGGGCATGCGCATAAGGTGATTTAAATTGATAATAAGTTAATTGTGAGTGATTCTTTAGTAAATACATTTTTTTTGGTTCTCGTGAATATCATTAATATGGAAGAAACTTATACGGTCGTTACTGACAAGTACAATTAAATTTTAAGTACTGGTATGTCACATTGACAATTGACATTGCACTCCGAGAGTTAAAGGAGTAAAATCATATTCGCACTCCGTTTACGCCTAATTACTACACTCCTCTCTGGAGTGCGCAGCCCGAACTCACCTTGAGAGGGTTATCCTGAAAACATGCCTGGTATATTTAGACGACATTATAGTCTTGGGGAAGACATTGGAGCTGTGGCGCAGATATGTTAAACAAAAAAAACTAGAAATGTTTGCAAATGTGAATGAGTGTGTCAAAAAATACAAGGAAGAAGAAAAGTATGTGAAAGTTGTTTTTGTAACAATAGAAAGTCGTTTAGCCATGTTGGGGCAAAATTTTAAACAGTATTTTCTTGCTGAAGACAAAGTGGTAGCAAGTTACGAGTGGATCAGGAATCCATTTTGAACTACTTTCGAAGGTCTCTCAACTGCAGAAGAAAAAATTTTCATAGACTTTACTGCAAGCGACGAAATCAAGAGATAATTTAGTAGTAAATGTTTTTGAATTTTGGGCGGGAGTGGATGATGCCTTTTCTTCACTGAAAACAAGAGCATTTCGTATATTATTGCCATTTTCAACATCCTACCTTTGCGAAACCGACTTTTCTGCGGTGACTGCTTTAATAATAAAATATAGGTCTCGACTGAATATAGACAAAGAAACATTATTTTAAAAAACTTTGCTGTGCGAGAAAGGCCCAAGGGAGTCATTAATAATTATTGAAGCTACTTTTAATTTAGTACTGATGAGTTTATTATTAGTTTAATTTGTCATTTGACAGTACCTACTAATACAATCATATTTATAATAATTAAATAGTATATTAGTTTAAACATTTACTGTAATTACTTATTTTGCTGGCGCTACCATGTAAAGTTATGGCGCCCCCTAAGGAGGGCGGGTCCCACAGGTTTAGAAACGCTATCGTAGGGGTAATATTGGAACTTGGTTGGGGATTTATCATCCTATTTTTCGGACCCTTAACCAACAAGTTTACGGAACTTTTAAAATTGATTCTCTAATTAAGTATTACTTAACTTTTTTTTCTGATTTTGCCGCTCCTCAACGTACTGTCGGGGGCTTGCTCCTTCTGTCCCTTTAAATCAAGCAACGAGTTTAAATATGGACGTTAATCAATAAATAAGTACCTAGGTACCTCAAGAATATTATCTTGTGGCCACTCATTTTCCTAGTTTTTATAAACGATTTACATTGATTATTTGTTTAAGTGTTTGTCAATGAAGAGGGAAATGAAGTAGCTGAGAAAGCCTTGGACGTAGCACTCACTTACCTCAAGAAGAATAGCAAGCTAGGAATAAGCGTCGATTTGAGAAGGGTCGTGGGAAATAGAACGGATTCTAATTCGTTCCTAGATTCACGTAAGTCAAATTATACTCATATATGGAATAAACATTGATTTTTTAGAGTTTTATTTACTGACAATGTTTTTTTAGTATGCAGTTCTTACAACCAAATGATTCAAAATCAAATATATCCCCATTTGGTACTGGACACCACCATGACTGGACTTGGTTCGGAAACTGTCAAAAGTTTTACAGCCGCCTTGGCTCTGCCCACGATCAGCGCATCTTTCGGTCAAGAAGGGGATTTGAGACAGTGGCGGAACATCGACGATAACGAGAAGGAGTATTTGGTGCAAATATGCCCTCCCGCTGACATCATACCGGAAATCGTGAGGTCCATCGTTCTGAATCAGAATATCACCAACGCTGCTATTTTATTTGACAGTTCTTTCGGTTAGATATAAAAAAATTCAAAGATCCTATACTATTGTTTGTTCTAAATAAAAACGTTTAATTTGTTTTAGTAATGGATCACAAATACAAATCTCTCCTTCAAAATGTGGCCACCAGACATTTGATTACTCCCATAAAAGATGGTAACGAGGTCGCCGATCAACTTAGTCAACTTTATAAGTTGGATTTGTACAACTATTTTATTTTGGCCAGTATAGGTAACATTAAGAGGGTCTTGGATGCAGCAGACGCACTTAGTTACTTCAATAGGTACGTATGGATATAAATGAATCATGTAATAGTGTACCTGGGCGGTCGTCTTCACTTTGCTTACAACACTTTACTTACAACATTTTACTTACAAGACTTTACTTACAAAACTTACAATACTTTACTTACAATAATCATACTACAAGTAATTGTGGGCAAATTCCACGCACAGTATTTTTTAAAACATTTCTATGCCTGGCTCAAGAGTGGAATGGTAGTGGGGATGACTCAAATCGATCAGATGCCTAATGGTGTTACGGTTGTTTTATTGATTTTAGGAAATTTGCTTGGCATGCTATCACACAAGATGAAGGCGAATTGAAGTGTATTTGTAAGAATGCAACAATTATGTATATTAAACCCTTACCTAATGCCACTTACCAGGATCGTTTAGGAACGATGCAAAGAACATATCAGCTGAATACGGAACCTATGATAGCATCGGCATTTTACTTTGATCTAGTTTTGCATTCTTTCATCGCTATAAAGTGAGTATTTTTTGGTATAAAACACCTAAAGAAGCCAATCTGTACTTAAATATATATTTAGAATAAGCAGTATGTTGAAGTTCCTTTAACATAATAAAACAGAACAAATATTTTAATTTTTACAATTTTTATTTGGACATTAAAAATATCAGGGCCTACTCTGCCGCACGTTTATATTTCTCGAGGTCATTACGCAATCTACGTAACAGTCATGTGGATACTTACTTTAAAAACGATTGGGCAGACGTGGCAATGCAAGCGACGCAGAAGTTCACTACAGATAGTCTATGAATAAGTTAAATTAAATCTACAGGGAAATACCAAAACCCTACATTTAACACAGTGTATCTAATAAATTGTGGTTGAAGCCATATTATTAATTTTATATTTGGCTGTTTTTGTGATTTTTTAACTTTTCCTAATGATTTCAATATTGCCAAAAATTCTCGCGCCAAACTGATATTTTGTGACATTCCGTATATGACTGACATTAAAATATTTGCTAATTTCATTTGGCCATGTTGAATTTTTTTAAAAGTAACTGTTATTGTGAAACATAAAAAAGTTTTTATATGGCTTCAATATAAGTAGACACACGGTATATATATATTTTTTGTAGGGAACTAATCGCAGATGGAGTATGGAAAAGTGCCGTTACAGAGTATATTACTTGTGATGATTATAATGGAAACAATGCTCCAAAAAGAATTGGACTAAACCTCAGAAAATATTTTAACAAGGTAAAAAGTATTTAATTTTTTTTAGTCCCTGATACCGTCCTGTATTTTTTTTAGGTTCTTGCAAAACTGTCTAGTTTTAATAAGTAAAGTTTAAAAAACAGGAATTTATTTGTTACCACTCACAAATATAGTAAAAATTTTTCAAATGCTGTTTAATAGTATTTTGTGTCACAAAATTGATTATATCCTATCTAAGCTAGTAAAGAGTATATATAGTCTCTTAAATATATGTACCAAGCGGTACATGTATTTAAATACATCTAATACATAAGGCGTCGGCCACTGGAGCAAGGGATTGTGCGTTCGATTCTCAGCATTTTTTTTTCATGATTTCAAGACAGTGTTGCCATGTCGATCAGGACCTGATTAATAAAAAAAAGGACTCTTAAATATAACGTATACATCTATAAAAATTAGTTATTGTTACAATTACTGGAGCCTAATTTTAATTATTTCCAAAGCATTCATAACCTTAAAATTTTTATTTGTTGATATAGGAAAGCTCAGAAATGTTCACGTACGGTCCAATTTCTGTGTCGTCGAACGGTCTCAGCTTCATGGACTTCCAGATGACCCTGAGTTCGATTGGTGTGCGAGAAGGAGCTTCTGACAAATCAATGACCTTGGGAACGTGGACGTCGGGCTTTGACAGAAATTTGTCTTTGGTAGATCCCACAGTTATGGGCAATCTGACAGCGGATGTGGTTTATAGAGTTGTGGTTGTCGAGGTAAGTTTTAAAGACCGCGTTATCCCTTTGTATTTTAAACCGTGTGTAGACCAAAATCTATCGTATTTTAAAATCTTAGCCTATCTTTTTTAATCTCTAATATTGTGTTACTGCTGACACCGCAGAACGGCTCAGATCCCACAAATAGTGTTTGAGCCCCTTTCCTTGCGAATCTGCAATCTCGTTACCCTGTACCCCGTTATGTCCCGGGATCCAACTAAGAGTAACTGTATTTTATTCAATTTTTATAGATATCTCCAGACCATTTTTATTGTCATGGGGTTTATACTAAGTCAAACTTTACGGCATCATCTTTTAGTATATTCTAGTTCTCTTTGGGACTATATCACACAGGATATTTCCAAACTTACCTTTACCAAATATGACTATATCGTCGGCATAACCTTGACAGGGTATGCCGAAGTCAGTCAATCTGCATAGAAGTTCGTCTACGGTTAGGTTCCACATTAGTGGGAATAGAACTCCTTCTTGTGGACATCCTCTAGTTGTGCAGATGAAGTAGGTGTCCTGCCCTGTGTCTCTGCAGTTCTCGTAGAAAGCGCTGAGCCATCCATCTGTATGCAAGTCTCTTTTGACAGATTCGTGTTGTCAAGTACTCCTTCTATGTATAGGAAGGCACACACGACCGTTTCTTTGTCTGTCAGTGCATCCTGGATTAAGTCAGTCATCTGTACCAGCGCAGTTTCTGTAGATCTTTCTGCTCGGTACGCGTGCTGGATGTGGTGGAGTGACACCCTCTCCAGGACTTCTGATATAATTCTAAACAGCCTTCTCCATTGTTTTTAATAAAAAGGACGTGAGGCTGATTGGTCAGAAGGATTTAAGATGTGTGGTATACTTTTTTCCTACTTTTGGAATAAATGTGACTGGCCCTTCGTTATTATTCTGGTATATATTCCAGTTCCAGACTGCTCTGGGATATCTGGATTATGTGTGGTAGTAATTCCTTCTGTGTCCGCTGAAGCAGAGCAGGCAATATTCCATCCACACCTGGAGACTTAAACGATTCAAAGGTGTTTACGGCCCACTTTAACCGATTGCTGCTGCATATGTGTTTGGCCACTACAGCCGCCTCTTGGTGGTCTGCTTACCTTAGTTGTGTCCCTTTTTAGAAAAGGTGTGCTCCCAGGAAAATGAGTTTCGAATAAGAGGCGAGCTTTTACCTCTTCACTTTTTGTGAACCATTTGGTTTCTTTAACGCCATAACTGAATCAACTCTCCTTTTTGCCAGGGCCTTGTGCATTCTCGCTATAGCAGGTGTAGAGTTATTCTCGCAGAATTTTCTGAAGCTCTTACGTTTATCTTTCCTAATTTCTTTGCTGTACTTGGCGCTATTATAGAACTTCTGCACCTCGGATCATAAGTTTGACAGTTAACAGTTCCACCAAGAAGCATCCCTACTAGTTCTATTTTTTCGAATGGGGCAGCTTGATTCATATGCTTCAAGTATTGCCTCCTTTAGTTATTCGAGATCGCTTTCTAGAGCAAGTGGGTGTCTGGGCTCTTTTTTAGACTGGATACGTGCTAAATGTTGTTTTAGAATGGTGTTGTATTTGTCCCAGTTTGTTTTTCTAGGATTCCTCCTGAGGATCATCCCAGGAGTGTCGCTCTCACAATTATCTTGTGCGATCAGATAGAGATGGTTCACTCGATGCTCTCCAGTTTGTAACTAGATCTTGAATGCTTGGTGTACTTAATGTGATATCTGATACCTTAGTTCTTGCCTTTGTTACAAATGTTGGAGTATTCCCAATATTCTGCACAATAAGGTTCTTATTAAAAATATATTTTAGAAGTTGCTCACCCCTTTGACGGGTGTCGTTGCTTTCCATTATGGTGCTGCATCCAAGAAGTAATGGCAGATTACTTCTCTGGCAGTACCTAGCCTAGATACTTCAGGGGTGGTACAGGCCCATCTCCGGCGAAGTAACAAGAAGCTATGTCTTGCCGAGGTATGCTCGAATTGGGACGAAAATATTTAATATTATTTCTTACCATAATGCATGTTCTGGGTACTTCATTACTAGTGTGATAAATTACCCTTGCACCTTTACATGCAAGTCCTTCTACCTGGTTTCCATATGCCCACGCTTACTGGATCAGTACGATCCCTAATTGGTATTTAGTGAATGCTCTGGAGATCACAGCCGATGCAGCTTTGGCGTGATGGACATTCACTTGGGCGATGTTAATGCCCGCAATTTTAATTCTCTTTGATAACGGTATCGTCCCCATTGATGAGGGTGTGTTTTATGTCTTCCTCTACTAACGGTCTTCCATAGCGTGGTCGATAGCCCCACATTCTGTGCTTCTATTAACTGCAAAAGATTCTCCACAGTTTGCCCTTGACTTCTGGGGCGAAAGAGTGTGGCAGTATGTGCTTTCGGGATGTCGTATTCCGCACATACTTCCAGCTCAACTCCCTTCCAGTTGCTTAAGTGTGTGATTTTAACAGTCCATTAATACCATACTTGGCCGAAAGTGAATGCCTCCGAATTGAAGTTTGTAGTCCCACCCGGAGAACATTTCTTCTAATAGATTCCTTCAATAAGGTTGGCTTGTTCGCATTGAGGATAGTCTCAGGGGAACCCCTTGAGTAAGATCGCCACCCAATCCATCATGAAAACAGTTGCATAACTACCGGAAGCGGAAGTGATGGCCATTTTCCTCTTTTTGTTAGTTCTTTGCGGTGGTGTTGATCTCTTCTCTTTCCTTGGAAATGGGTTTGGTCTCAGTTTCCTAGGATTCGTGATCAACAGCTTTCTTTTTTGCTTCCTCCGATGTGAAGCCCTGATCGAGGTAGCGAATATACTACCTGATCCCTGCCCCAGTGAGTCCTTGCCTCAGTGGGTCGTCCCTTCCACGAGGATGTCCTAGGAAGGTATGGAAGGTATATGATTTATATTTTTTAAGGGGAACTTCCCTTGCTGGTAGGTTGTGAGAGGAGGATGAAGAAGATAAAGCAGTAGCTCACTTTGTCTGCTCCCTTCACCCTTTTCTTTTGCTCTCCCTCCCTCCCTCTCTCTTGTGAGGTTGTCTCACTTGAGAGGTTGAGGTAGTTTGATCGCTTCGGATGGCAGGCTCTGTTCAATCAGATTTGGAGATAGGGTGTTCCTGCTGTTTGTATTTACTGTGCTTTACCATGTAAATCCCACAAGCAGTTAGGAAAGAAAAGTTGACCGGCTCAGATCGCCGCATGCTCTGACAAGGCTGGATACAAGGGGGTTTCGCCCAGTGGAACGTTCGCAACCGCTTTGCCAGCGGCCATTCAGCCTTCGCCACGTTTCCTTACACCTTAGCTTGGGTTTTAATAGAGTGTCATTCAGTTAGTTAATAGTGTTGTTCTTGGAGCATCAATATTAACGTATCCAGCGGTGCCACGAGGAGGCAGACACTCGATGATTGTATTTCTGCTTTGTTATGCCGAAAAAGTTGCCTACAAGCTGATACATAAGCAATCTAAGCTACATAGCCATGGCTAAACAACCAAGCCCGCTCATTAAAGCAGTTACTTTTGACCCAACTTGTATGTCCCCGAAAGCAGTGTCTCATCTTGGTAATGTTTGTTTTTGAATTCCAGCAAAAGCCGTTCATCTTCAGAGACGAAAACGCTCCCAAAGGTTTCAACGGTTACTGCATCGACCTCATCAACAAGATAGCGGATTTTTTGAAATTCGACTACGAACTGGTTGCCGTGGATCATTTCGGCACCATGGACGAGAACGGTAAATGGAACGGTATGGTAAAAGAGTTAATTGACAAGCGTGCAGATGTAGCGCTCGGTTCAATGTCTGTCATGGCGGAGAGGGAAAACGTTATTGATTTTACAGTGCCTTATTACGACTTGGTCGGGATTACCATTTTAATGAAGCTGCCCGAAACTCCGACAAGTTTGTTCAAGTTTTTGACCGTTTTGGAAAACGACGTCTGGTTGTGTATATTGGCGGCTTATTTTTTCACGAGGTAAGTATACTGGGTGACTATGAGACTAGGGCCGTTGTAATATCTCCTTTAATTATGAAGTGATTTGCGTCAAATTTGGGATTAACATATACATAATTTGCAATAATTGACACTTAATAAGTGTAAAGTGTAAGAAAATACAGAGTTGCCAGATCGTTTTAGATCATCCGACCAATTAGAAATTACGAACTTTTGACAGAAAAAGACACTGCAGACAAAGGGAAAGTAAATACCGGAAATGTATAAATATACCTAAAAACTACTAACGACATCAATGAGGTTATAGTAATATTTTGATTTTTATTTATTTAAATTTTGAAATGCACTGCGCAAGCTTGTGAATTGAATTCTCTCGTTATTTTCATTTTCTCTACCTAAAAGTAGGAGAAAGTTTTCAGAAAAAATCTCCACCAACTTTGATGAATTCGATTTCAAAAATATGAATTTTTACAAGGGAGTAGAAAGTGAGAATGTTCGCTCAATATTTCTCACTCCCCATTTCAAGAATAGGCACCCATAAGTATTTAATATATTTATTTGTAGTAACATTGTTTACAATTCAAACCTCATTGGTTATATTTAGGCGATACCCCGATATAAAAGGAACATATTATGTTCCTCCATAATCCAAGGGGGTTTTTCGTTTTGAAAATTTTGCCTTGAAATTGTATCCTGATATTTCAAAAGAAGAGCCACTTCCATGGTTTTATGAAATATTCAACATTTTAACTGATAGTTGGCAACGTTGTAACCATTTGCAATTATTCTATAGGTTCTAAATGCCCAATTAAACGAATGAAGAATTTCTTAGAAAACTGAATACTTTTACGTAAAAATAATTAAACATTCCAATGCGATAGATAATTGTACAAAAAGGGTTTACCAAAATATGAGTGGTATGTCACGACGCTTTTGTCAAAAATAAGGGTAGATTAGTTATAAAAGGAGTTTGACATTATTTGTCCGTATCCACCGCGAAAGTATGTGACCGCGACCCTTTCAGATTTATTATGGGACTCCCTTATTTAGAGCATGTCGTCTAGCTTGGTCTTTTTTATTATACCTAATTGCCTTGACAGTGGCCTCCGCATGTTGTTACATGTGTCTGGCTTTTCTTCATCTAGTATTACAAACCTCAATCTAGTTAGACCTTCACACTGGTGTAGAACGTGGATTGATGTTTTCTTTCCTTATTCACAGAATCTGAATAAATTTAAAAAAAAGAATAAATTACAAAATATCTTGGAATTTAAAAATAATTTAATTTTGTAAAAGTGAAAACTTACTTTTTAGAAGATACCTTGGGAGATTCTACCTCCCTCGAGCTTGCCGTCAGTATCATTGAACAAGAGGGGATATCGACTCAAATTTAAAAAGGGAAAACTAACTTTTTAGGAGATACATCGGGAGATACTACTTCACTTGAGCTTACGGTCAGTGTTGTTGAACTCGAGTGGATACCGACTCTTAAAAGAAAGAAATAAATTAAAGAAAAAATATTTAAGAAGTTTACTTTGTGTTTATTAAACTAGAACTGGGAGACAACAGTTCTAAGCTATTTTTTCATAGTATTTTAGACCTCAATATCACTTGGTTTAAAAAAGAATTGTTTAACTAGGCGTTTGCAATAAATATTTATAAATTACCTATATCAATACGAAAGTATGTGTATAAAGACATTTGTTTACTTACTCTATTGGCAAAACATTGGATTTCAAACAAAATGTCGTATTATTGTAGATAAATAAATCTTCAGGTGAAAAGTGATCTGAACAAAATTTAGCATCTTTCAGTTTTGAGATCTTCCTCATTTATTTTCAAGTTGTTCAGCCATAACTGACGTTGAACAAGGTCTCTCGGAAACCTGTAAATGTATATACCATAAAATAACCAGTTTTTACAATTAGGTATTTTTTATCAAAAAATAAATAAAACACTAGCACAGTTGTTACGCCCATGGATATCTACATTATTTACATTTCATGGGATTGATTTTGACATAACCTACCTGTGAAAAGAGCGAGCAATGATTTTGGTCCAAAATTTTCGGAAAACTATGCATCTCTTGCTATTTTGAAATGTCTAATTAGTTTGTAAATAATTTCTTTTATTTAAATAAATAAAACAAAAATATTTCACTAAAATAAATCACCGAATGACACTTTTAAAAACATACACAAACAGGGTTGCCAAATGTTCAGTTAAAATATAGTATTTAATGGTTAAACCGATGGATCGTACTGAACAAAATCTAAAAAACATATAATTTAAACACTGATTCAATGCAGAAAAAAATTAAATGAGAAATTTATGAATATAATCTAGTTTCTTAAATGAACTGTTAAATATTAAGCTCCATATCAAGTATTTTGTACCTTGAAACATTGGGAACTAATCATTATTATCCATACGTTTAACCGAAAGAGACACTATGGCAACCTCTGCTGGTACCGCCGTTTGTTGTGCATGCGATTATGGACCTTATTATCATACGACAATTGTTTATGTAAACAAGGCGTATCTATTCCAATACATGATCGAATAATGAAACATATTTTTGTAGTCTGACTAATAAAGTCGCAATATGGGAATAAAGATTACAAGTTATAACTAAATGAATGTAAAAAAAACTTCTTAGCTTTTACTGGTTAAAATCAAACACCAAAAAATTGCGTTATCCCTTTATAAAATCCTGCGGTGCGCATGCGGATCTTTTACTAATCTACAGGTAGAGTGGATCACCAAATATTGATCTCTATCACAATGCTGGATCAATCTACTAGTTTCCGAACAAAGAATCAAAGATAGGGTTAGTAACCATAGGTAAACCAACAATAGGATCCATAATCTTTCTTATTTGAGTAAGTTTCCAAAAACGCCTAATGCTGCTCTCTCTAGAGTCTAGAGCCTCTAAAAGGGCCCCACTCACCTCGTTCTTTTCCGCCGTTTTTAACCGACGGTTAAAAACGTCAGGGTAAAAATGTCACAAAAACGAGGTGTATGGGCAAGAACGTCGTTTATGAACGTCGTTCCAAAATTTCAGGCGAGTCTTGATTTTTGACGGTTATCGTGCCAACCGTTCGAGTAAACACGAGATGTATGTTCTCAACAGTTTGACTGGTCGGGCATTTATTAGTAGCAGTGACGTTCACCATGTTTTTGTTGTTTATTATTATTTACAATAAAAATGTCGGATATTAAGCAGTGGAACAGAGATTTTTTATTAGAGTTTATCGAGCTTGGCAGGTTTCGGGTATTATGCGCCCTAGTGCCTGCGGTGAAATAATAACAGAAAACTTCAGATCCTCGTAGCTGCGGCCAGTGGCCAGAAACCGCAGAGTAACTGTTAGGCGTTCGTGAGGACTGATGCATTCCCGTAAATGGGCATTATGTCTCCCAATTAACGGTGTTAATAGTTTTAACAGTTTCCGATACGTATCCTCGTCCATCCTCAAGTAATTGTGCCAATCACCAGGCTCCAATCTTAGCTCCTCCAGTAAATTTGTTTGTGACAGTGTACTGCGTTTAAGTAGCCAGTCTTTAGTCCATTTTCTTCGAGATTTTATTTTTTCACAATTTTTTTCCACTGCCAAAACCGCTGCCACTGCTAACAAGCACGTAGGGTCCATCATGGAGGAAAGGGTCCATCGTGATAAACTGGCGCGAAAAAAACTGTTGTGTGTGGACATATCAGTCAACGTTTTTCCTTCCAACGTTTTTAACCGTCGGTTAAAAACGGCAAAGAAGAACGAGGTGAGTGGGACGCTTAAAATTGTCGTTAGCAGTGAAATTGGAGGGTTGAGAAAGCGTCGTTTGCATTGACACGTCTTGTCTAATCTTTTTTAAAGTAAGTGTTCGCATGACTTGTGACGTATGCTGTGACGCGGATTGCGCAATGGCCTCGAGAAAAGCATACAGAGTTGGACTGGGAATTATATGTTGAATGTTTCAACAATTACAAAAAAATGTTTTTCTTTTTGATGTCAGGAGGATAAAGAATTATGTTGTATTATGTTGTCAGATCACTGCTACTACACTTCTACTATTTTTATATTTCAGCTTCTTAATGTGGGTATTCGACCGCTGGTCACCGTACAGCTACCAAAACAACAGAGAAAAATACAAAGACGACGAAGAAAAACGCGAGTTCAACCTCAAAGAATGCCTGTGGTTCTGCATGACCTCTTTAACTCCGCAAGGAGGAGGCGAAGCACCTAAAAACCTGTCGGGTAGATTGGTAGCCGCCACGTGGTGGTTGTTCGGGTTCATTATTATCGCTTCGTATACAGCGAATTTGGCCGCTTTTCTCACCGTCTCAAGGCTGGACACTCCCATTGAATCCCTAGATGATCTATCCAAGCAGTACAAGATTCAGTACGCTCCGCTCAACGGATCAGCCGTGCAGACGTATTTCGAAAGAATGGCCAATATCGAAGCTAGATTTTATGAGTAAGTATTTGCTAATTTTTTTAATGTTTTTATGACAGTTGCTAGTTGGTAAAGTTACCATGAATAGCAGTTTCGAGTTATGATGAATGACAGTTTCAAGTTATGGACACGTGAGGTTAGTTTTTGAGTTCTTCTCCTTCTTTTCTTTTTTTGGGCTGTGTTACTGCGAACAATTTACCCAGATAAAGTTGATTTGCTTTTACTAGATAGTGATTTTAAATAAATTTAAAAATTTGGAAAGGGTGGTTATTCTTCTATCATCCAAATGAGACAAGATGTATCGAATATCAAATGGGGCTGATAAACCAGCCTTTGTTAGTTTCAAATACACATCAAAAAGGTGAGATTTATTAATGGGACACTCTAAGATGATGTGATTTAACATTCCAACTTCTCCACACTCGCAAAATGGGTCATCTTTAATACCAATTCGAAATAAGTGATATGGGGTTAGACAATGGCCAGTTCTCATCCGTATGATTGTGGAAAGGTACCTTCTTTCATAGCATTGTTTACTATTGAACCACGGAGTTTTGGGTATTTCAGGGACTACTTGGAAGCAAAAAGATGTTTTGTTTTCTTTTAGTGAATTCCATTGTTGATGCCATTTGTTCCAAATTTCTTGTTTAATGAAGGGTAAAAAGTTACTGTGACTTATTGAGTTTAATATTTAAAGGAATTTTAAGGATTCTGCATATATTTGCTAATTGGTCGGCTTTATGGTTGCCAATAATGCCGGAGTGACCTGGAATCTATGCCAAAGTGATGTGGATGTTATTCATATTAGCAAGTAAGATACCTTGTTTTGTTAGAAAGGAGCAATGATCAGTTTCTGTAGAGAATTTTATATTTCCAATTTTTTGTAAAGCAGATTTGGAGTCCGAGAAGATAACTGAGTTCAATATATTTTTTTCTAAAATGATTTGCAAGGCATGGTTAATTGCAATAATTTCTGCAGTACATATTTGTGTATGTTGAGGTAGTCTGCTTGAAAACACGTAATTGAGGTCTGGAGAAAATACACCGAAGCCTGAATCATTAGAAGGTCCCACAGATCCGTCGGTGAAGAATTTTGTGTAACCGGGTAGCTCGTTGATTGTGTCAGTAAAAATGGATAATCCATAAGTGTCATCCCTAATTGATCTAAGATTTAAACATAAAATTGAAGAGAGTTGGATGTCCAATTCAAATTCATGGCATGGCAGCAATTCATTAGAATACATATTCAGAAGGAACTCTTCCATTTGGTTCATTAAACTTAATAATACTGGAGTATCAGTTACCTTTTTGTAAACATTTCTTTCTTTATTTAGTGTTTCCAAATGTTTTAACGAATTGATGACAAGGTTATTTTCCAATGCAAGATTTTTTAAAAGAAATTTATAACAAAGCCAGTCTCTCAAGTTTAAGGGGATATCCCCGCTCTCTGCTTGCACAGCATAAATTGGGGTTGATTTCATACAACCAGTGATGACCGTAAGCTCTGATATTGTAGCCTGTCCAACTTCTTCTGAAGGTACTTCGGACATGGAGAAATTACCTGGCATCCATAATCTATATGACTTAAGATGATAGCGTTGTGTATTATGCGAAGGATTTTTGGATCACTGCCCCACCACGTACCACAAAGAGCTCGCATTACATTTAAACCTCTGTTAATTTTTTGCTCAATGTAATTTATATGTGCATTCCATTTTAAGTGTTTATGAATGTAAATGCCTAAATATTTGAATGAATCTGACCAGTGAATGATTGTATCATTAAATTTAATTTTTGAAAGGATTAATTTAATAGGACCTTTTGAAAAAAGGAGAGCCGATGATTTAGTTATAGACAAGTTGAAATTGTGCTCATCGAGCCACTCTTCAAAAGCAATCAAGAAATAGTTTATTTCTATAATAATATTGAAGACATTCTCTCCACTAACCAAAATTACAATATAATCCGCGTATTGGATTAATTTAAAGGTTTTTGGTATAATATTGAATGAAGATAACATATAGAGATTAAACAAAATGGGGCTAAAGGGAGATCCCTGAGGAAGTCCTTGATTGGAGGTTCGTGGTCCATGACTTTGACCACAGTTATCTGAGACTGAAATGGATCTGTTATTCATAAATGCATAGATAAGGTTGCATAGCTCTATTGAAATGCTAATATTGGCTAATTTGGAGTATAGAAGATATATATTTACATTATCATAGGCTGCCGAAATATCAAGGAATATACCAACAGTATAATTATTTGATGCCAAGCCTATTTGGACTTGAGTGATTAAGTAAGATATTGATTCTGTGCAGCCTTTCCTCGTCTAAATCCTTGTTGTAAGGGATGTAAGATTTTCTTGTTTTCCAAATATCATTCTACTCTATTTTTGATAAGTGATTCTAGAAGTTTTCCAACGTAGGATGTTAAAGCTATAGGTCTATAATTATTTGGACATAATTTATCTTTCCCAGATTTTACAAATGGCAAGATCAAAGATTGTTTCCATTGTTGGGGAATAGATCCACTTTTGAGACAGTTATTGTAGAATTGTAACAGCCAAACGGCACCCAAGTTAGGTAAGTTTTTTTACCATTGAGTAGGAAATATTATCTAAGCCAGGAGAAGAATCTTTTTTAATTGATAATGTATACTTAAATTCATTATATTATGTAAAGGCAGGTTCTTTGTCATTAGGAATTTTGATAGAAGCAGCAGGGGAAGCAGAATTCGGTGTTATGATTTTTAGTATATCATTAGCTAGTAGCGAAGATGGCATAAGGCTGGAAGTATTAGTTTTCTGACCTGCAACTGAATTTACTTTATTCCATATCGTTTTTGAGTTTACCCTACTTTTTTCATAATCAGTGAAGAGAAGTCTCAATTTGGTTTTCAAACAGGCAAATCGACAGATCGACATTCTACTGGAAATAAAAATGTAGATGATAACTTATCAACAATCACAGTATTTTTAGACCTAGCAAAAGCTTTCGACACAGTAAACCATGCTCTTCTCCTAGAAACCCTAGAAGATATAGGCATAAGGGGTATATCAAATAATTTCTTTCAATCATATCTGACAAACTGTCCTCAAATAGTAAAAGTGGGTGATAAATGTAGTAGAGAACAAATAGTTGTGTGTGGTGTACCTCAAGGTATGGTATTGGGGCCTATTTTATTTACAATATATTTAAATAACTTACTTATGGTTAAAAGTAGGAGCCAAATCACTAGTTTTGCAGACGATACAGTTTTAATATACAAGGATAAAAACTGGTACGATTTGAAGATAAAAATTGAAAATAATTTTAAATGTATAAAACAGACTTTTATCCATTATAACTACAAAAAAATCTGTCTATTTACCTTTTACATCCCTAAAGTCAGACCTTCCAACTTACACAATAAATATACAAAAAAATACCAAGATACAACCGGCCAAAAACATAAAATATTTAGGTGTTATGATAGACCCACATCTTAGGTGGGATAGTCATACAAATTATTTGACTCAATTAATAAGGTGTATATTATACAAATTTAAACAAATTTCATACCATCTGCAATGTAAACAAAAACTAATGGTTTTCCGAAGTTTAGTAGAAACTCACCATTCTCGAGATTTCGCAAAAAATATTTTTAAAAATTCTTCTTAACAAAACCAGAAGATATTCTAGCGAGTTATTTTATGCCAAAACAAAGATATTCGATGTTCGACAATTATACTTTATAAATATTATTGTGACGATAGTCTAATTTATTTATAGTTTATTTATTTAAAACACACTATTTATAATTTATTTATGACGTACAATTTAATTTATATAATACTTAGACACTAACTAAAACTAATAATTCTAATTTATTTATTACACTTTAAGTTTTCATTACAATGTTCTATACTAAGCTAAACTATGCCCTGATGAGTCGGTTATTTATATCAAGTTCAATTCTCTGCTCGTAGTTTCCAGGCGCTCCCGAAAATTCCATCTCTATGACTCAACTGGAGTTTCTCGAGACGTCAGCGGCTTACCTAGAAAATTCCGTCGTTTCTTGTATATTCGAGACGCTGTTCGACTATCTTCACACGTCAGCGTTGCTTCGATCATGAATCGAGTGGTAGACTTCCAAGGTCACTCGCTTTAGAGTTTAGACAGAGACGGCTTAGGAATTTTTATGACATTATAATAAAACAACATACACTCAGATCAAATTTGCAAATTCGAACTCACGAACATATGACAAGAAAGAGAAATACTTAAACATAATAACAAAAAAATCTATTGGACAAAAAGGTTTCTTGTTTCTTGGAACTAAATTATATGTATATCGTGTACCTGAAAAAATTAAATCTGAACCTTCTATAAATAGATTAAAAACAACATTAAAAAAATACGTAAAGAGTACGACTAGAAACGTCATACTGGGTAAATTATCCTGTGGAATATAGCCCAATAAAGGAAGAAGAAGAAACGTCATACATAACCTAGTTGAAAGTAGCTAATAGCAATGTTTCTATCTATTCTATTCAAGTCAAAATGGCATTGAAATTTTTTAATAAATAACAAACTAAATGTTTTTCTCATGTTATAAATTATATTTTAATTTTCATTTACTTTTAGTATAGTATATTTTATTAGTATTTATAGCATTTCCCTTGAAAACAAACATTTGATGCTTCGGAAGAGTATGTGTTTATTTGCAGCTACCAATAAGACACTGCACTTTATATTTATTGTAATTTCTGTGAATAAATATTTTTTATTTGATAAGCTGTCCAAAGAGGTATCACAAGTGAGGTATTGTAATTTAAGATTTTTACGTCAGTATGGGTTGGGTTTAAGGGGGTGGTGGGGGAAGTTTGAAAAATGTCATTTGGATTTCCACTAGTTTTTAAAGAAACGGTATTTTTTTATTTTTTTGGCAGTCGTCGGTGGGATTCGAACCCAGACATCTTTGTTCTATACACAAATGCCCTACTTCTAGACCATCAGACATTGACTGTGGAGATTCTTAGACGGCATTTTGATGTGTCTGATGTGCCTGAAACGGCGCTTGGCCAGAATTAGCAATTAACTGCTGTCTAGGAATCCCGATAACCCGATAATGTCGTGATGGTCTAGAGGTAGGGCGAGGTCTCCATCAGTACATAAAAAACCCGTAAAAATTGACTATTTATATTCTGAATCGTTACCGTTGCTTTTTGCAGAATTTGGAAGGACATGAGCCTCAACGACAGCCTCTCAGAACTGGAACGTTCGAAGCTTGCCGTATGGGACTACCCGGTTAGCGATAAGTACACAAAAATGTGGCAAGCCATGAAGGAAGCCACCTTACCAAACACTCTAAATGAAGCCGTTGAGAGGGTCAGATCTTCCAAGTCGTCGAGCGAAGGTTTTGCTTATTTAGGCGATGCCACTGACGTCAAGTATTTGGAAATCACCAATTGCGATCTGACTTCCGTCGGAGAAGAGTTTTCTAGGAAACCGTACGCGATAGGCGTTCAGCAAGGATCGCCGTTGAAGGACCAGTTTAATACTGCGTATGTATATAGCAAGATGCAATTTTTTTTAGTTATTGTTACTAGTCGTTATTGCTTAACTTACGACTAATTTTATTCTAAGAAAGTCCAACAAGTTGGAGTGACGACACGATTATAAAACGGTGTCGTCAGGCCAACTTGTACTTTCCTAGTGCTAGTACAAACTAGCAATTACATTCACTACACGAGTTCAAATTACACACATCTCCAAAAGTCTTGGCCTCCAAGGTATTTTTAAAAATATTCAAATTGAATTTTGAAAATATAGCGAATCTTGTTCTTTATTTTAATACCAAACAAAAAATGTCCAAAAATTGTAAGTAAGAAAATTTTATTTTTGTGAAAAAATGTTATATCGTAACAAAAACATAACTTAATAGTTTGTATTATCGCCCCTTTAATCAATTGGCCAACGCGTCGGCATCCCACGGATCCGGTTATCAATAAAATGATCAGACATATTGTCCCAATCTTCTTGAACAGCTACAGTCAAGTCCTGGAGGGTAAAGGGTGGTTTTCTCGATTGGATGTTGCTCTGCCAAGATAATCGCATGTTTTTTCAATGAGATTCATGTCTGGTGAGTTTGGCGACCAGTAAATTAGTTGGATATTTCCTTCCTGCAGCTTGTTTTGTACCCTTCGCTTGCGATGCGGTCCGCATATTTGTAAGTAGCAGACGCAACATAAAATCGTGAAATGGCGAACTGCAATTTGTATGAAACAGACTTAGTACAACCAAAACTGCTAACACGTCTCCTACATACGCGTGATTGCAATTTGTATGTAACAGACGTAGTACAACCAAAACTGCTAACACGTCTTCTACATACGCGTGATTGATTATTATTCGCTCCGTGCGCGACAGCAGCGCCAATTCATTTTGATACTAATGGACTATTTCTGCGTATACTGACAAATACAATTTTTAATAGAATTCGTAATTAAAAAGTATATATGTTAGTTTTAATAAAAGTATATGGATTTTTAAAACAAGTAAAACGTTAATTTATTATTATTATTATATATTTTTATCGCTTAAATTAAAGAAAATTATGTATAATCACTAAAAATCAATAATAAAATATAGGCAGGCAACAGTATTTACTGGAAAGTGTATGAGAAGTTGTCTAAGTCTAATAAGTTGTCATTAAAGAATTAGCCTATTCTATCAAAATAAAAAAATACCATTTAATAATAGCGTGAAGTAAAATGTATAAAAAAAGGATCGTTATTTATATTTTCATTTTTGTTCGAAGGAAAACATAGAATGAATGATTAAAACTGGTTTCCCATCAGTAAGTGACAAAATTGCATTCCAGTAACATATAAATAATCAAAGGCAGAAATCTTGAAATCTAGTCCTTGCTGAATGAACATTTAACAATAAAGGGATATTAAAGAACATCATAAAATGATAATTTATTGTTTATTTAAAACCTTTCAAGTTTCTGATGTCTACTATTTCCAGCATTACTGTTATTATTACAAAAATAAAGGTAATTTTTCTTTTTATTGTACACCTATCCATTTATTTCTTTGATTTAATTTCCACTTTGCTACTGAATTTTTTTATATAAGTTTCACTGATTTTTTTTGCTAGTATTTGTACAATTTTCAACACAGCAACTCTGGTTGCTTATTGTATTGTTTTTACCTACTTTTTTGAAAAAAAAAATAAAATGTATACGTGTATTTGATATGCCAAAATTACAAAATATCGCCCTAAAATGCACGAATTATCCGCAGCTAGCGCTAGTATCGCTTTTGCTTCCCTTTCCATGACTTCGCACGGAGCGAATAGCGCAAAACAAAGCACTGCTCTATTTGTCAATTCGTATTTTGTGGTCGTTCGTGCCAATTTAACCAAACACGTTTTTATTTATATCTGTCTAAAGAAAATAATATTCATGAATGAAATAAGTGAGATTTGGTTTCCGAAGCTGTATGATTCGAAGGTAATTAATAAATCCACCTACAAATTAAGAATTAAAACAAAAGAAGATGTAGAGGTATGTAAACAAAATTTATAGGTTATGTTTTTGGGCGCTTAACGCTCTGATATGTATAAAAGCCAAAAGCCTGCCGAGGACTCTTTTCGGTAACGTTTTTTTGAGGAGCATGGAGATTATTTTATATTTTTTCGTGTAATTAAGGTGTGTTCCTCGGGTTTTAAACTGTAATTTATATTATTTTTTCGGTTGATAGGTATATTTATATCTAAAAGCGTATAGTGAAAGGTTTAGCCATAAGGGCAGCGATGCTTTAAAAATTCATCAGACTCATACAAAGTAATAATTATTGATAGACACATCATTAATTAAACTGAGAACAGAAATTGATTTATCACAAAAAATGCGATGTTGCCATGTAAAATATGCAGGGATATCGTTCTAAAACCTGAGATTGGCTACTGCATTACTGCATTCAAATATGAAGGCATTTCTTAAAAAAATAGGACTTCTGCCATAGCAACTCGCCGCAAAGGAAATAAAATTCCTATTCAACCAACGTCAGTAGCAAGAAGCAAAATGGAAGGAAAAAATATCTTTTCTGGAAGAAAATCTTTTAGACACAGTGGGAAAAAAAAGCAGCACATTCGTTAAAAATTTGTGTAGAAAAAAACGTAGGGCTTGGTGATAATAAATTCCGAAAATAAGGTTTTTCTGGTTTTTTTTTTTAATTTGTTGTTAGTAGTAATATTAATAAATTAGCCATTAAGTTTTTTAAGATCTCACTACCATCATAAATAATTTACTGTAAATAATTTAGATGTAAATAAATTAGTAAATTTTACTAAGCATCCTTGTGTCTTTCTTATTCTTTTTAATCGGTTAGGTATCTGAAGGCATGATTTTTGATTAAATCGTTGTGTATGTAACAGACGCGTTACTAGTTTTAGTTGGAATACGTCTGCTACATACGAACTACTCTTCGGCAATTTCCGAATGTTAATAGATTGTATTCTGCGTCCGTTACATACAAATATGCATGCGGCATGGCATTTTCGTCTAGAAAAATAAAACTGTTTTCAAATTCGTTGCGCAAAGGCTGAATGATTGGTTGAATAATTTTTTCAGCGTATATGATACCTGTTATAGTTCTCTCAATCAAAATAAGTGTTGTGCGGTGAACAAACATTATACCTCTCAAAACATCACTGATTCTCCTCGATAGGGAATAACATCTCTTGCCAAAGTAAGTCTTCCCTGTTTGCCTGGACCCCTCCAGACCCTTTCTTGTCGGCTATCACTCTGTAGGTCAAACCCTGACTCGTCCGAAAAAAGGACGTTGCGCCATTGTGATAAAAGGCCAGTTCCTGTGCGCTTCAGCCCATTGGTGACGTTCAGCTGTGTTTGGGTTAAGTGCCTACGCACTCTTAAAGGTCTTCTTGCCCTTAGATTTGAGGAATGCAATCTTTTTCTTATGGTACTCCTCAAAACTACCCTCCGGTACTTTCGCAAAAAAATACTTCTCTGGAAAAAGGCCACTACGCTTCTTACCAAAGTCCATGAAATATTCAGATGACCCGCAATCTGGTGATTTGACAAATTCTCTTGCCCTGACAAACTGAGAAATCGGATGATCTGGCTCTCAGTTTAGAACTGATTTCTTTTCAAATGGTGCATATTTTCAGACGTGGAAATCACAGAAGAACAGTTTTTGCTTACAACCTTTTGTGTTTATGTATGATAAGATAATGAAGTATAAACAAAAAATAGTCACCTTACATTGACTGCGGTAAAAATTACCAAGGGGGCCAAGACTTTTGAAGATGTCTGCACTTATTTCTTTTGAGCTTTCTGTTGAGTGTAGAGTTGTCCAGTAATTGTGGCGCTTCTTCATTGACAGGAGAGTGGAGTCGACCCTCTTGTTTCGCAACAAACCTCGACTGTTGGCATTTTCAGGTCTCCTCTATGAAGATAATAGTTTCGATAGAATTAAGGTGCAAGTTGCATCAGCGATGTAACTTTGGACTTTATATTCAAAAACTTGTATCATGATATTGCTTTTGCTGGTACATCCCATAGCTGTATGCTCCATACATCCAGACGTTTAAGAATTTGTCTATAAATCAACAGTTTATTGTACACTGACAGCTCGTATTTTTTTCCTAATAGCTAAGAGCCAATACATTTTTTTTGAGTTTAAGTTCTTTAGGTACGCATTTTTATGTCCTCCTTTGATTTAAATCGTACATCTAGTTCATCAACATGCACTGATTTATTATTTTTCACTTTTGATTCTGTAGGAGGTTTCTTGGAATTTTTCTGAGGTTTCTGTATTTTTTTGACCAACTGCTAATATTGAAATTTTTGCTATTTTAACACATTACTGTTGAGGGATATCGCCGGGGTATAATAAGAAAAGAACCGGTACTAACACACTGCCTTGTGAGATACTTGCTTTAATTTTGGAGCATACCTCCTCGTATTTTACCCTACACATTAATAAGGGAGCACTTTTCAAAGTTTCTGTATCAGGCCACCGTGTCAAATCATGTCAAATGCTTGGGCCACGTCAAGGAATATAGCTGAGCATATACGTTTTTCTTCGAATGCTTTTTCGATGATATAAGCTAACCTGTGTACTTGATCTATTGTAAAGTATTTGTTTTTAAAACCAAACAGGTGCGAAGGGATAACGTTTTTATTTCTAAGTTATGATTTCAGTCGTTTTAGTAGTAGCTTTTTAAATAGCGGTACTATGACCTCACTAGGCACACTATGCATCCTCCTAGGTAGATAGGCACTTCCTAGCTCGTGAGCCAGCCTACAGATTTAATGTAGTTGACAATGTCCCCAAGAGGTGGTTCTCTTATTCCAGCCGGTGTTAGCCAATTCTTGCCAAACACAAATTTTCTAATAAATGAAAACAATAGTAGAGGATGTGCTCGATGGTCCTATCTTCTTGTTAGAACCCCCTGCAGAGTGCGGACTCTAACAGCCCTATGATATGGAGATGCTTCCGTACTTGGCAATGTCCAATCAGAATACCTGTGATCAGGCGCAGATTCTGTCTAGTCATAGTCAAGTATTTGTTCGCTGTAGTGTTGTCAGGATAACTTAAAAGCTCCCTGGCAAGTCTGCAGCATCTTGTTTCATCCCAGCTTCACATGAATTTCACAGGGGAATATTCTTTAATTAGGTTTGCCACTACAGATGTCAGTCCAGTAGAAGGGCTAGGTCCAAAAAATATTTGGTTAGATGCGTTCTTGGTCAGTGAATCAGCAAGACGATTACCTTTCGATATGACGTGATCTTTGATCCATCTTAAGTTGACCACATTGTTGATGGATACTTCGACCAAAACTTCGTGACATTCTAGTACTAACCCTGAATAAATTCGTGGTCTGTCCAGGGTGAGTAGTGCTTGTCTGCTATCTGTATAGATGAGCATGTTTCTTCCAGTGATATTATTTCTGGTTATTTCTTTTGCTGCTATAAGAATTCCCGTGAGCTCGGTTTGAACAACACTGGTACTACTGCTAGCAGGATCTGGAGTATATTCCACATGCTGAGCCTTGTTCTGTTTTAGAACCGTCGGTGTATATATGAATCGTACCTGCCACTTCCGGCTCTTCTATTTGTTCTGTTATGAAGATGGAGTCCATATTCTCTTGAAGCAGTGGGAGCGTATCGAGCTCCTTCTGCCAAAAGCGACGTCTTACCTCACCAGATCCTTCATCCGACTCTATTCCAACCGTGCGGTTATTGTCATTAGAACAACCTCCTTGATGTAAATATCAAGGGGAGTGAGAAAATTTCCAGGTCATCTGCATTTGCTATTGTGTAGTGACTGTCATTATTGAGGCGGCTGATAAGAGTGTTGATGACCATGTTCCACAGTAGAGGTGATAGCACCCCTCCCTGTGGTCATCCACTCGCAACCAAGCCTCTTATATTCACATCTACTACACTTATGTTTACTGCTCGTTTTAAGAGCATGTTGTGTATCCACCCATTAACCATCTGTCGAACATTCCTGTTGTTTAGTGAGTGTATTATCTTGGGAAAGGTCGTCTTATCAAAACTTCAATGTTTATGAAGACACCCAAGGCGAACTCTTTATTGTCCAGTGATCCGGCCAGCAACTAGGTGAATTGTTGAATCAGTAGATCTGCCTGGATTGTATGCATGTTGATTTTGGTTTACTGATGTTGTAATCACTACATCCCTTGTGTACTTTTCGCATAACCTTTCCAATGTCTTTAGGGATGTTTTTGGGACAGTGTTATTCATCATTCCAGGTTTGGGTTTAAAGACTACCTTTACCTCTCTCCATTTTTGGAGGATATACCGCAGAGTCAACGAGGATCTGAATATATCTACCAGATGCAGTGTGAGTTTTTCCAGACCCCACTGAAGTAGGGCTGAATAGATACCGTCAGGCCCTGGTGATTTAACTGGAGAAAAGCTATATTTTGCCCATTTAATTTTGTCATAGTCTGCAATGTGTTTGGCAGTTTAGAGATTATTGGTAAATCCTACATACATAGGTCTATATGATGACAGTTAATTTGGAGGTTTTCTTGAGTTGAGAATTGGGACAACTTCAGCCATTTTCATGTATCCATATCCAGTACATATTAAAGCAAAATATGTTGCATATATAAACAATGCCAATTTAATTCATTTGCAGTTTCTTTAATATTTCTTCAAGGATTGATGTTTGTGTGAATTTATTTCACAACTTCATCGAAGTAACTAGCCTGATAACAAGTTGTTCCATATTATGGATAGTCTCTATAGAAGTATCTTAATTTTCTTCTGAATGGAACGCCTTTTGAAAGTAATCAGAGGAAATATCACCTCTTTATTGATTGCCTCTTGCTAATTTCTTATCTGATATTCTGATAGGAGGATAGTACATGGGTTTTTTAATTTTTTAGATGTCTTCTAGAGCGAGTAATCACTTTCTTTGTCATCTGTTAGCCATAATAGGCATTTATTGAATGATTCTTCTTTGTTTATTAAGATTTCGCTTCTCAGTGTTGGGATAGGTCTATTCATTTCTATTAGGTCTATTTCTCTTTTCTACTACCAGTTCTCTTATCTATACAGGATAGTTGTTTTCTGTTGTAAATCTTCTTAGATTTGGTGTGTTCCTCCATATGCAGCTTGCTCGATTTCCACTATAAACTTTTTCATCTAACTAATCTTTAATTTAGTGTTATGTACATTTGAATAGTATTTATATGGTCAATTAACAGTATTACAAGAAACCTTATTTGTGGAAAAACAATGGAAAATATTAGAAATCGTAGATATTCTATGAAAATTTGTTAAGGTGTCTAACATCTTGCTTTGTATATTTTTATTATCACCACTTTTTAACCTTTCACTTATTCCCCCATTTACTACGAAGGACATATGCAGTTTTTTCGATTTCCACTATAAACTTTGTTTTTAAATAATCTTTAATTTTTAGTGTTATGTACAATTGAATAATATTTATTAAGTCCTCTTGAGATCATTTCCTATTAGTTTTCCGATTTGATTCTTTTCGAAGAAAATAATTGTGGTGAGATACAAGTAAGAATGTTTGATTTTCTTTTTAGGATTCTACAACTTCTCAACAGGCGTGAATTGGAACGGTTGAAAGAAAAATGGTGGAACAAGAATCCGGAGAAGAAAAATTGCGAACAAGTCGATGACCAATCTGACGGTATCAGTATTCAGAATATCGGTGGAGTATTCATCGTTATTTTCGTCGGTATTGGTTTGGCTTGTATTACATTGGCGTTTGAATATTGGTGGTACAAATACAGGTAACTACTGAATTTAGTTTGGAAGGCTACTAACTGGTATTCATCTTAAAATTTAAGTGCTACCGAATAACTTTTCTTAATTTTTATTTTATTTTTTCTATAGGAAGGGAAGCAAAGTATTGGACGTTCAAGAAGCGCCACCGCAGAAGAAGCAGATAAGCAATTTTTCAGATAACTTGCCGTTTACAAAAACAAAAATTTTGGATAAACCTTCTGTTAAACCTAAGACACTGTTCCCTAGATCAAGATTTTAATTTGTTCAGTTTTAAAGGTGCTGTTCTGAAAAGATCACCACTTGAACTCACTCAACTGTTGTTAGAAGTGTTTTCAATAAAATTATCCAGAGTTAACTGGATGGTATCGATGGTATCGATTTTGTGATGAAAATCCTATGGATGCGTATTGAATCTTTCAACATAACCTCACTATTGTTAGCTGTCTAAATAACTTTATTATTCTAATGTTTAAACTTTTTTCCTGCAATGTGTTGATTTTCACAAAATTTATTTAAAAAATGCGTGATTGTGATTAGAGTTGAAATAAAACAATATTAAAAATATATTTTTTTTATTTGTGTATTTTATATACATACAAAAGTAACAGAACAAGCTACCATATATACTTAAATAACGATGGTAAAATATAGGTATACACTGAAAGAATTAGTTCAGTTCAAAGATTATGTTTTTATACGGTACGATCCAAAAGTGTGGGATACAATAATATTGATTTAAGGAAAAATTAAGAATTTCCCATAACATTCGGATAAGCTTTTGTTGACAGTTTGTCAAAGGCCTAATGGTTTTAAATACAATTCAGTAAAGAAAAGAAGTACATCAAATTCTCTTAGGTGTTGAAGTATATAGGATGAATCCAAAGTTGATAGTTTTTAACTGTGTATAAGTCATTAAATGAAACAATTTTTTCTAATAACTTTTCGACTTTTTCCATTTTTTCAACTTTTTCAACTTTTTCGACTTTTTCGACTTTTTCAACTTTTTCAACTTTTTCAACTTTTTCAACTTTTTCAACTTTTTCAACTTTTTCAACTTTTTCAACTTTTTCAACTTTTTCAACTTTTTCAACTTTTTCAACTTTTTCAACTTTTTCAACTTTTTCAACTTTTTCAACTTTTTCAACTTTTTCAACTTTTTCAACTTTTTCAACTTTTTCAACTTTTTCAACTTTTTCAACTTTTTCAACTTTTTCAACTTTTTCAACTTTTTCAACTTTTTCAACTTTTTCAACTTTTTCAACTTTTTCAACTTTTTCAACTTTTTCAACTTTTTCAACTTTTTCAACTTTTTCAACTTTTTCAACTTTTTCAACTTTTTCAACTTTTTCAACTTTTTCAACTTTTTCAACTTTTTCAACTTTTTCAACTTTTTCAACTTTTTCAACTTTTTCAACTTTTTCAACTTTTTCAACTTTTTCAACTTTTTCAACTTTTTCAACTTTTTCAACTTTTTCAACTTTTTCAACTTTTTCAACTTTTTCAACTTTTTCAACTTTTTCAACTTTTTCAACTTTTTCAACTTTTTCAACTTTTTCAACTTTTTCAACTTTTTCAACTTTTTCAACTTTTTCAACTTTTTCAACTTTTTCAACTTTTTCAACTTTTTCAACTTTTTCAACTTTTTCAACTTTTTCAACTTTTTCAACTTTTTCAACTTTTTCAACTTTTTCAACTTTTTCAACTTTTTCATTTTTTTCAACTTTTTCAACTTTTTCAACTTTTTCAACTTTTTTAACTTTTTTAACTTTATCAACTTTTTTAACTTTTTTAACTTTTTAAATTTTTTCAAATAACTTACAAATAACTTTTTCTTATAACTTTTTTAAAATAACTTTTTTAAAATAACTTTTTTAAAATAACTTTTTTAAAATAACTTTTTTAAAATAACTTTTTTAAAATAACTTTTTTAAAATAACTTTTTTAAAATAACTTTTTTAAAATAACTTTTTTAAAATAACTTTTTTAAAATAACTTTTTTAAAATAACTTTTTTAAAATAACTTTTAAAATAACTTTTTTAAAATAACTTTTTTAAAATAACTTTTTTAAAATAACTTTTTTAAAATAAGTTTTTCAAATAACTTTTTCAAATAACTTTTTCAAATAACTTTCAAATAACTTTTTCAAATAACTTTTTCAAATAACCTTTTCAAATAACTTTTTCAAATAACTTTTTCAAATAACTTTTTCAAATAACTTTTTCAAATAACTTTTTCAAATAATTTTTTTAATAAACTTTCAAATAACTTTTTCAAATAACTTTTTCAATTAACTAACTTTTTCAAATAACCAACTTTTTCAATAACTAACTTTCTCAAATAAACAACTTTTTTAAATAACTTTTTCAAATTTTTTTTTCAAATCATTAACTTTTTCAAATAACTAACTTTTTCAAATAATTAACTTCTTCAAATAACTAACTTTTTCAAATAACTTTTTTTAAATACTTTTTAAATAACTTTTTCAAATAAGTTTCAAATAACTTTCAAATAACTTTCAAATAACTTTCAAATAACTTTCAAATAACTTTCAAATAACTTTTTCAATTAACTAACTTTTTTAAATAACTAACTTTTCAAATAACTAACTTTTTCAAATAAACAACTTTCTTAAATAACTTTTTCAAAAAACTTCTTCAAATAATTAACTTTTTCAAATAACTAACTTTTTTAAATAACCTTTTCAAATAACTTTTCAAATAACTTTTTTAAATAACTTTTTCAAATAACTTTTTCAAATAACTTTTTTAAATAACTTTTTTAAATAACTTTTTCAAATAACTTTTTCAAATAACTTTTCCAAATAACTTTTTCAAATAACTTTTTCAAATAACTTTTTCAAATAATTTGTTGTCTCCAATAGGGTCATATAATGTTCATTCATGAAATACAAGGTAAACCGTTCACTGTTAATTCTGTAGAACACCGATTAAGCACTGATGCATGTGCATTTTGAAGCACTCGCTATATATAATAAGCTAATTTTTTTTTATATTATAAACATTCTATTGAACAGTGAAAACAAGACTAAATTACATTGACTGGTAACGTGAAATTAACTATCAAAACCTAAAAAAAGGTATAAAGATAAAAATGTAAATGTTTAATTTAATTCTCGATATACAAATTTTCTATATTTATTTTTGAGTTTTTTAAAAATGTTATCCAAAGTTGATAGTTTTTAACTGTGTATAAGTCATTAAATGAAACAATTTTTTCTAATAACTTTTCGACTTTTTCAATTTTTTCAACTTTTTCAACTTTTTCAACTTTTTCAACTTTTTCAACTTTTTCAACTTTTTCAACTTTTTCAACTTTTTCAACTTTTTCAACTTTTTCAACTTTTTTAACTTTTTCAACTTTTTCAACTTTTTCAACTTTTTCAACTTTTTCAACTTTTTCAACTTTTTCAACTTTTTCAACTTTTTCAACTTTTTCAACTTTTTCAACTTTTTCAACTTTTTCAACTTTTTCAACTTTTTCAACTTTTTTAACTTTTTCAACTTTTTCAACTTTTTCAACTTTTTCAACTTTTTCAACTTTTTCAACTTTTTCAACTTTATCAACTTTTTTAACTTTTTTAACTTTTTAAATTTTTTCAACTTTTTAAATTTTTTCAACTTTTTCAACTTTTTCAACTTTTTCAACTTTTTCAACTTTTTCAACTTTTTCAACTTTTTCAACTTTTTCAACTTTTTCAACTTTTTCAACTTTTTCAACTTTTTTTAACTTTTTCAACTTTTTCAACTTTTTCAACTTTTTCAACTTTTTCAACTTTATCAACTTTTTCAACTTTTTAACTTTTTAAATTTTTTCAAATAACTTACAAATAACTTTTTCTTATAACTTTTTTAAAATAACTTTTTTAAAATAACTTTTAAAATAACTTTTTTAAAATAACTTTTTTAAAATAACTTTTTTAAAATAACTTTTTTAAAATAACTTTTTTAAAATAACTTTTTTAAAATAAGTTTTTCAAATAACTTTTTCAAATAACTTTTTCAAATAACTTTTTCAAATAACTTTTTCAAATAACTTTTTCAAATAACTTTTTCAAATAACCTTTTCAAATAACTTTTTCAAATAACTTTTTCAAATAACTTTTTCAAATAACTTTTTCAAATAAATTTTTCAAATAACTTTTTCAAATAATTTTTTTAATAAACTTTCAAATAACTTTTTCAAATAACTTTTTCAATTAACTAACTTTTTCAAATAACTAACTTTTTCAATAACTAACTTTCTCAAATAAACAACTTTTTTAAATAACTTTTTCAAATTTTTTTTTCAAATCATTAACTTTTTCAAATAACTAACTTTTTCAAATAATTAACTTCTTCAAATAACTAACTTTTTCAAATAACTTTTTTTAAATAACTTTTTAAAATAACTTTTTTAAAATAACTTTTTTAAAATAACTTTTAAAATAACTTTTTTAAAATAACTTTTTTAAAATAACTTTTTTAAAATAACTTTTTTAAAATAAGTTTTTCAAATAACCTTTTCAAATAACTTTTTCAAATAACTTTTTCAAATAACTTTTTCAAATAACTTTTTCAAATAAATTTTTCAAATAACTTTTTCAAATAATTTTTTTAATAAACTTTTAAATAACTTTTTCAATTAACTAACTTTTTCAAATAACTAACTTTTTCAATAACTAACTTTCTCAAATAAACAACTTTTTTAAATAACTTTTTCAAATTTTTTTTTCAAATCATTAACTTTTTCAAATAACTAACTTTTTCAAATAATTAACTTCTTCAAATAACTAACTTTTTCAAATAACTTTTTTTAAATAACTTTTTAAATAACTTTTTAAATAACTTTTTCAAATAACTTTCAAATAACTTTCAAATAACTTTCAAATAACTTTTTCAATTAACTAACTTTTTTAAATAACTAACTTTTTAAATAACTAACTTTTTCAAATAAACAACTTTCTTAAATAACTTTTTCAAAAAACTTCTTCAAATAATTAACTTTTTCAAATAACTAACTTTTTTAAATAACTTTTTCAAATAACTTTTCAAATAACTTTTTTAAATAACTTTTTTAAATAACTTTTTCAAATAACTTTTTCAAATAACTTTTTTAAATAACTTTTTTAAATAACTTTTTCAAATAACTTTTTCAAATAACTTTTTCAAATAACTTTTTCAAATAACTTTTTCAAATAACTTTTTCAAATAACTTTTTCAAATAACTTTTTCAAATAACTTTTTCAAATAACTTTTTCAAATAACTTTTTCAAATAACTTTTTCAAATAACTTTTTCAAATAACTTTTTCAAATAACTTTTTCAAATAACTTTTTCAAATAATTTGTTGTCTCCAATAGGGTCATATAATGTTCATTCATGAAATACAAGGTAAACCGTTCACTGTTAATTCTGTAGAACACCGATTAAGCACTGATGCATGTGCATTTTGAAGCACTCGCTATATATAATAAGCTAATTTTTTTTTATATTATAAACATTCTATTGAACAGTGAAAACAAGACTAAATTACATTGACTGGTAACGTGAAATTAACTATCAAAACCTAAAAAAGGTATAAAGATAAAAATGTAAATATTTAATTTAATTTTCGATATACAAATTTTCTATATTTATTTTTGAGTTTTTTTAAAAATGTTATTTGAAAATTATGTTTATTTTAACTTCTATATATACATAAATCAATACCCTGTATAAAAGTACTGCTATATTATTTTTGTTATTTTTATATATTTTTTTTAGAGTTTATTGATTATTTATTTATATCTCTTGTATTAAAGTATATATTATTTTAGATTGTCATTTAATATATTCGTAAGACTCTTAAATTTTGAGTTTTTATATTTACTTAATTTATCTCAGGGATATTATTTTACTTCTGTTCCAAAAATTGGACCTGACTCGTATAAATGTTTTATTTTGTAAATAACATACCAGGTATAAAAAATCGAAATGAATTTTTGTATTACTGACATTTTAGGTTGTTAAGATTTTTTCTCTAAAGTTGTTAATTTTAAAATTTGTTACTGTTTGACAACCTATTTGATTCCATAGATATTTTATAAAATTGCTGTAATAATTTTATTTGTGTTCAAAAATATAACAATAAATTTTTTTTTTCTACTTTTAATATGGTCAATTAACAGTATTACGTGAAACTTAATTTGTGGAAAAACAATGGAAAATATTAGAAATCGTAGATATTCTATAAAAATTTGTTAAGGCTTTGCCTAACATCTTGTTTTGTATCTTTTTATCATCACCATTTTTTTCATCTTCCACTTACTCCCCCATTTACTACGTAGGACCTACTTTTAAAATGTTAATTGATATAAAAAATTGCTGCCCCATTTAGTAAAAGTAATACATACTTTCAAAGTGTAATTGAAACTAATCTAAAAATCGAAGATGATGAACGACAATATATGTTATTTCATTATTGCACATTTAAATCATACAAGACATAAATTACAAACTTTATTTCAAAACTCTTCATACGTTTTTTTGCTTCTCATATTCCTATGACAAGAATTTTATAGTAGATCAGTTTATACAGAACTTGACTTGTGGAAAAACAATAGAAAATTATAGAAATCCTAATTTTTTATGAAATTTAGTTCGTAGTTGTCTGATTTGCATTAGATTTGGTTGTGATAAATAATTAAAATCTGTCGCATAAAAACTGTGGTACTTATATTATGATCCGTCAAAATAAAACGTTTCATGTATTCCAACAATTTTAATTCGCACCATATAAGAATATATAATAACTTTGAACTAAACTATTAAATATTCAATGTAAAAAATGACGAATTATATTTGTCTATATACAAAGCATAAAATAAATAATAAAAAGACCAAAAAATCACATACATACATATATATTTAGAATATTAAACATTGAAGTGGGATTGCAAACCGACAGGGTGCCGCGAAACGTTCGGAAATTTTTGAAAATCCGAATCTATTATCACTTTCAAAATTCGGAATTGCAACCATACTTCTTATATTTTCATCAATAAACTTTGGATTTTTGAGATTTCTAACGAAAATTATTTTCGGTAATAACATATATTTAAAGTTAAGAGTTGGGATAATTAATTTGTGAAAAATCTTATCTTTGTTTTATGAGTATTCAATAATTGGCTTGTTTGATTACTGTTCATTAACCAAAAAGAAGAAGACCCGACAGTTTTTAAAACTGACGTCATTCTAACCATTTTACCGTATACAGTGTCGGCCACTGAAAGCTTTCCAATACGCCTTTAACAAGTGCATGCGAAAACTACAGATAGTTAGCATTAGATCGAGCAGTAAACGAATAATATCAGCGTTGCTAGTTTATACGGCCCGACCGCGTTGTAACATGGAAAACGTTCAATAGCTGATACTTTATAATTTATTGATAGTGATATGTTCAGTGAGATATCAAATGAACATATAAATAATAGCTTTTATATAATATAAGAATGTTTATACTATTTTTAACTTTCAATTAAATCATGTAATTTACTGATTTTATTTTTGTTTCGACACACTTTGCGATAAATTTTAAAAGTTGCTGCGTTTGCTGAAATCGTCTTATGTTTGACAACCATGCAAACCTGTGAGATCCGATTATTAAGATATATCTTACGTTGCCATATCTATTGTCAGTTTATAATCAGTTTATCGTCAGTTTATCGTCTGTTTATTGTCAGTTTATTGTCAGTTTATTGTCAGTTTATTGTCAGTTTATTGTCAGTTTATTGTCAGTTTATTGTCAGTTTATTGTCAGTTTATTGTCAGTTTATTGTCAGTTTATTGTCAGTTTATTGTCAGTTTATTGTCAGTTTATTGTCAGTTTATTGTCTATCTTTCGCTGATCCATATAAAACAAAAAATAAAGCCAGTTATAGCAATATATTGATATTCCAGTTGAAAATACAATGATAAAAACGTGTATGATGGTATTTATGTGCAATTTTCCATTACTGATTACTCTGACTCGTCCTATTGCAGACATTTGAGCAATTTATCACGAAACGTTAAGACAATGGATGGCCTGCCCAAAATGGAGACAAACTACGACGTAGGATTATGTCTAAGATCTAATTTTTGGAAATTTGACGTTGATGACGCCAAAACCCTCATGAGGAACATTCGCGAAATTTTGCAAAATTTTGGGAAAACATATTATAATCTTCACATAGAAACCAAACTTGTAATAGGGAGGGGGGGGTGAAATTAAAAAAAATCATAAATCAAAAACGAAAAGCGATATCAACATGAAATTTTTAGTGAAAATCAAGCTCTGTAAGGGGATGAAGCCTATTACTTAAAAAAACTGAAAAATAGGGTGGTTAAAGGGGGGTTGAAATATTTAAAAAATCCTAACGATATAAACTTATTGATTTTATAAAATCTGAATAAAATTGGGATTAAGGGGGGTTGAAATATTAAATAAAATCGTAAATCAAAAAATATAAATTTCAACTTTTTAGAAATAATTAAGCTTTATAAGGAGACAAAGGGTTTTAAAAAAATCTGAATAAAAATGGGGGTAAAGGGGGTTTTGAAATAATAAAAAAAAACACAAATAAAAAACGAAATATGATGTCAACTTTAAATTTTGAGCAAAAATTAAGCTTTACAAGGGGAAAAACTCTATTGATTTTGAAAAAATCTGAATAAAAATGAGGGGGTTAAGAGAGTTTTGAAATTAAAAAAAAAAAAAAAAAAAAAAAAAATCATAAATCAAAAACGAAAAACGATATCGAGTTGAAATTTTTAGAAAAAATCAAGCTATGTAAGGGGATAAAGCATATTGATTTTGAAAATAATATCTGAATAAAAATGGGGGTATAATGGGATTAAAATATTAAAAAAAATAATTCAAAAACAAAAAACGATATCAACTTGAATTCTTCAGGAAAAATCATCAAGCTCTATAAGGGGATGAAGCCTACTGATTCTGAAAAAAATAAATTGAACAAAAATGGGGGTTTAAGGGGGTTAAAATATTTAAAAAACATTACAAGGCCGAGCAATATATTCATTCTAGTTAAATAATAAAATTATGTTCTTAGATAGTTTCGTAGTTAAAAGACTTTTTTTGTATAAAGTTATTACACTTATGAACTTATGAACCATACGTTAATTCCTAAATCTCTCTAGCATTATCAACCATTTCTAATAATTATTGTTTGGAAAAAAGATGATGTCTATTTAAAAACTCTCGGGACTGAGATATAGATCAAGGGCGGTTCCAAGACGAATTTTCGGGGGGGGGGGGGGGTCATTGCCTTTAGACATTCCTTTTAGCATATTTTTTGAATAAAAAGCCCCCACAGCCCTCCTGGAGCCGTCCTTGGTATAGACGTGCACCAGGATTTCATTCAGTCGGAGCTCTCAAAAATTCAAAGTATGATTATTATTATTTTCGTGATGTTAAATTAATACCGCATATCAACGATGCTACTTCACGCATATTTTTTTTAACGCAAATTGTACGGTAGCCACGCATCTTTTAACTCCAAAATGATGTAGAAGCCCAGTCTACACGAGAAAAAGTAAGTAGCGACCTGCAATTCGATCATAAATCGATAGTTTGCGACAGTTCCAGTTTCTTCTTCAGTCCCGTTTTATCCAGCTCTAATTCGATGGTCAAACTCTCGACCTCCGCTTCCAAGGCTCTGGTTCTTCTAAACATTTGAACGTAGTTCATCTGCAACTGCCGCTGGTATCTCAATACCTTCTCTTTCTCTTGCAGCCAGGTGAGTCGTTCGTGTTCGAACTGTTTGCATTTGTTTTGTAGTTCCTCTCTTAACTTTTCTACTTCGTTTATCTCTCCGTTTAGTTTTTGTATTTCTAGGTCTTCCAGAGAGTTTTCTTCGGTTATGTACTGTCCTCTGACTCGACCGGGCTCTATGTTACTGTAGTCCTTTAAGCTCATATCCGACAATTCTTCTCTTAATTCTCTAATTTCGGATCGTAATTTTTCCGTTTCTTCGTAATCTTTATTGATGTTGTTGTTCGTTTGGATTTTTTCCTGGATGAATTGGGTGGACGATTTTAATTTGGTTATCGCTTCTTTCAATTCTAATATGTCTTCGTCTTTAGACGCGTTTAGCGATTTTAAACGCTCTATTTCTTTGTCTTTTTCTTCTACTTGGGTGCGTAGGTACTTGTGGTCCGATCGGGTTTGGACAAGTTCCTGGCACTTAGTGGTTTGGTCCGTCTAGAAAAAAGAGATAAACTATATTAGATAAAAGTTTTTATAACAGTTTTTGTACGTTATTACCTGTAATTCTTTGAGCTGCGTTTTGAGTAAAGATATCTCGCCTGTCTTCTGACAGAGTCCCCACTCCGTTTCTTCAAGTCTTGCTTTTAAAGCAGCGACCTCTTGCATCAATCTTTCGCATTGCATGTTCGATCTTTGGACGTCAGCGCAGGTCCTCTTCTTGTCCTGTTGCATCTGGTAGGTCTGCATCATCAGCATCTGTTCTAATTTCAGTACTTTTTGAGAGCTCGTTCTAAGTCTACTATCCTGCAAGAGATCAATACAAACTATTATTCTAAAATTGACGATGTCGTTGAAGAATAATGAAGAATAATGAAGAATAATGAAGAATAATGAAGAATAATGAAGAATAATGAAGAATAATGAAGAATAATGAAGAATAATGAAGAATAATGAAGAATAATGAAGAATAATGAAGAATAATGAAGAATAATGAAGAATAATGAAGAATAATGAAGAATAATGAAGAATAATGAAGAATAATGAAGAATAATGAAGAATAATGAAGAATAATGAAGAATAATGAAGAATAATGAAGAATAATGAAGAATAATGAAGAATAATGAAGAATAATGAAGAATAATGAAGAATAATGAAGAATAATGAAGAATAATGAAGAATAATGAAGAATAATGAAGAATAATGAAGAATAATGAAGAATAATGAAGAATAATGAAGAATAATGAAGAATAATGAAGAATAATGAAGAATAATGAAGAATAATGAAGAATAATGAAGAATAATGAAGAATAATGAAGAATAATGAAGAATAATGAAGAATAATGAAGAATAATGAAGAATAATGAAGAATAATGAAGAATAATGAAGAATAATGAAGAATAATGAAGAATAATGAAGAATAATGAAGAATAATGAAGAATAATGAAGAATAATGAAGAATAATGAAGAATAATGAAGAATAATGAAGAATAATGAAGAATAATGAAGAATAATGAAGAATAATGAAGAATAATGAAGAATAATGAAGAATAATGAAGAATAATGAAGAATAATGAAGAATAATGAAGAATAATGAAGAATAATGAAGAATAATGAAGAATAATGAAGAATAATGAAGAATAATGAAGAATAATGAAGAATAATGAAGAATAATGAAGAATAATGAAGAATAATGAAGAATAATGAAGAATAATGAAGAATAATGAAGAATAATGAAGAATAATGAAGAATAATGAAGAATAATGAAGAATAATGAAGAATAATGAAGAATAATGAAGAATAATGAAGAATAATGAAGAATAATGAAGAATAATGAAGAATAATGAAGAATAATGAAGAATAATGAAGAATAATGAAGAATAATGAAGAATAATGAAGAATAATGAAGAATAATGAAGAATAATGAAGAATAATGAAGAATAATGAAGAATAATGAAGAATAATGAAGAATAATGAAGAATAATGAAGAATAATGAAGAATAATGAAGAATAATGAAGAATAATGAAGAATAATGAAGAATAATGAAGAATAATGAAGAATAATGAAGAATAATGAAGAATAATGAAGAATAATGAAGAATAATGAAGAATAATGAAGAATAATGAAGAATAATGAAGAATAATGAAGAATAATGAAGAATAATGAAGAATAATGAAGAATAATGAAGAATAATGAAGAATAATGAAGAATAATGAAGAATAATGAAGAATAATGAAGAATAATGAAGAATAATGAAGAATAATGAAGAATAATGAAGAATAATGAAGAATAATGAAGAATAATGAAGAATAATGAAGAATAATGAAGAATAATGAAGAATAATGAAGAATAATGAAGAATAATGAAGAATAATGAAGAATAATGAAGAATAATGAAGAATAATGAAGAATAATGAAGAATAATGAAGAATAATGAAGAATAATGAAGAATAATGAAGAATAATGAAGAATAATGAAGAATAATGAAGAATAATGAAGAATAATGAAGAATAATGAAGAATAATGAAGAATAATGAAGAATAATGAAGAATAATGAAGAATAATGAAGAATAATGAAGAATAATGAAGAATAATGAAGAATAATGAAGAATAATGAAGAATAATGAAGAATAATGAAGAATAATGAAAAATGATGAAAAATGATGAGGAATTATGAAGAATAATGGAGAAGAAGAAAGAGAAGAAGAAGATATGAGTGCTGAAATGCATTTTAATGTTACATACCTGTACAGTCTTAAGTCGTTTCAGCTCACGTTCCCAAACCTTTTCCTTTTCTTGATACACTCTGAAGATAACCTGTTCGTTGTGTTCCATGGTTTGCCTCAGATAGGCGAGTTCCGAGTCTCTGTCCCTGAGGGCGGCTTCTAGTTCCGAAATACCAGAATCGGAAGGGGATGGGGTGAGGTCCATCATGCTGCTGTGGTTCGAAGCTGATATGTGCCGGTATGAAGGTTTGTTCCTTAAAAAAATAATGTTTGCATAAATACAACAAAATAAAGGATAAGTAATAAACAGTATTATTGGGATTGGTTTTTAATTTTTTTGTCAAAAAGTTGTATTTTTAATTTAAAAGCACCACTGTAAAATGTGCATTTATTAATGAATCTTATTTTTTAAAATAAATATTTATAATGTACATCAAAACGTGTGTTTTGGCATAAATTTGCACACATTATATTTCATTTTCAAGGCATACTATGATTTTTTTTTCGATATCTAAAAAGTGAAAATTTATAAGGAATTCAAAAACTACACCACTGGATTTTTAAATTTTATATACGGAAATAGCTTAAATTTCAATAAAAAATATTTGTCAATAAAATAGTTGATTTTGTAAAAGGATTATTTGCATATATTTTTTACACAGGTTTTAGGTAAATTAAAAAACTGGCAACATCAATAATGCAAAGTAAAATTCTAGCTAAGTTCATTGGTTGGAATCGATAGCCCGTCCTATAGTCTGCATAAAAGAGGAGTGTAGAGGAAGAAGTGGGGTATAACGTCACAATCCATAGGCGTACTTTACAAAATAAGTTTCTATAATATAAATAAGGTGACGGCATATAAAATGGTATATCCGCACTTAAGTTTTAAATGAAAAAAAGTTATTTATAAAAAATAAAAATAAATTTTATGTTTCTGACAAAATTGATAAACTTTAACACTGAACGAATTAAATTTAATCAATAAATAACAAGGAGGATTATATGTTGTTAAAATTAAAAATCAAAGATTTAAAAAAAAATAAAAAGTTCAAGAACTATCTTTAAAAGTCACTGTCTTCAGTATAACTACTGGTATTATTAGCATTGTCTTCTCTGAAGTTTATTATTATTGAATCTATTAACTTCTCCATTACTACGCTAAAGGGATAATAATTAAACAATAAAAATTAATAAAATAAAATACTTACGGGCCCGAACTGTCCGCAATGGACATGGGGGATTTTCTAACGCTTTCTAAACTGTCATAATTAACCAGTTTGTGACTGTGCTGCAGAGAAGACAGCGAACTCATGGCTAAGTGTGGCGAACAAGTGGACGACGGACATGAGGACCTCAACTTTCTATCCAAGGAGTAGTTGTGGATGGTGTGCGATGGCGGCCGAAGGTCATTACTACCTGCCAAACAAAACAAAGAAATTAAAATTAGAAATTATAATTTTAATAGAAGGGTAGGTAAATATTTTCTTCTCGACTTGTGTTAGGTTCTATTCAAATAATAGAAAGTGAGTTAAGTACACTTTCAATAATTGAAGCAGGTGTGCTACAAGGATCGATTAGATCCTCCTGAATGCGCTAATTTTCATCTATATTACAAATTATGTTGAGTTAATTTTTTTAATTATTTTGTAAAAGGCACAAATTAGCCGTCTGTGATAAGAAAGGTTGCCACCTTTTTATTTCGATAATCGATTCAAGCTATACTTTCCCAATACTTTATTATAATTTATTTTTAAAAATAAAACACTGATGCGTTTAGTTATAGGTTGTAGTTTATTGCATTTTTGGAAAAAAATTAAAAATGGGAACCTACTTTTTTACATAACCAAATTTTATTTTACATTTTAAAAAAAATAATAGAACGACACGTCATTATTAATTTACCTATAATTAGGTATGTTATTTAAATTAAACAAACAATAAAAAACAGGCCTCATTCCTTATTTTTTAAATAACTAGGCACTTTGGACTTTTTAAAGCGGATAATGAAAATCAAAAACCCCTTATAAAAATAAAACGAAGAACTGAAACATAATTTTTTTTAAAAAGATAAAATTAAATTGGGGGCCGAACTTTTCACCTCTGAGTAAAGTTACATGTATGTTTACATGACAGATTAACAAACAATAGTCCAATCAGTAAGTAGTTACTTTCAACTTTACTCAGGGGTATCTGTATCTGTAACGTGAAGGGTGGGTTACCCCCACGGCACTTAGACTAAGATGATACTTAGATAGCAAGATAGGCACCTCCTAGCTTGTAAGCCAGCCTACAGATTTAATGTAGTTGACAACGCCGCCATGAGGTGCTTCTCTCATAACCGCCGGTGTTAGCCGATACTCGCCGAACACAAATCTAATAAATGAGAGCGTCGAGTAATCGAAAAGGATATGCTCGATGTTCTCATCTTCTTATTTGCGCCCTCTGCAGAATGCGGATTCCGACAGCCCCATTATATAAAGAGATGCTTTAGTACTTGGCAATGACCAGTCAGAATGCCTGGGACTAGGTGCAGATTCTGTCTAGTCATAGTCAAGTATTTGTTTGCTGCAGTGTTGTCAGGATAATTTAAGAGCTCCCTGGCAACTGTGCAGTTTCTTGTTTCATCGCAACCTTCCCTGAATTTCACAAGGTCTGTCACTACCGATTTTGTCAGGCTAAAAGAAGGGTCAGGTCTAAAAAGTATTTGGTTGGATGCTTTCTTGGCTGGTGAATCAGCAAGACGGTTAGCTTTAGATGTGGCGTGACCTTTGATCCATCTTAAGGTGAGCATATTGTTGATGAATACTTCGGCCAAAGCTTCGTGACATTCTAGTACTAACCCTGAGTAAATTCGTGGTCTGTTCAGGGTGAGTAGTGCTTGTCTGCTATCTATATAGAAGATCATGTTCCTTCCAGTGATATTGTTTCTGGTGATTTCTTTTGCTGCTATGAGAATCCCCATTAGCTCTGAACTACACTGGCACTATTGTTCACAGCCTATTTTATATTTAGGTTTAAAAATCTGGAATATATTCTACATCCTGAGCCTTGTTTTGTTTTAGAACCATCGGTGTAGATATGAATCGTACCTGCCACTTTCAGCTCTTCTAATTGTTACAATTTTATATGGCTTATGAAAGATATATCTTGGTGAGATGGAGTCCACGTTCGCTTGAAGCAGTGGGAGCGTATAGAGCGCCTCCTGCCAAAAGCGATGTCTCGCCTCAGAAGTGAAAAGACTGGTCCTTAAACACTTAAAATCGTTAATTTATACCTGTTAGGTATTAAAAACTTTAAAAGACAACAATGCTGTGTTCAAAATTTAGTTGAGTATTCAATGGCTCGGATGCATTGAAAATAAAATTTTGAAGTTATCCAGATATTCCCGGACATTTTTGTCATGCGACCTGACACCGGACAAACCTTTGTAAAACCGGACAGTCGGGGCGAAAACCATACCGGTGGCATCCCTGATGCTAAGGTTACTTTCCACAATTCAAAAACGGGTTAGAAAATTCAACAAAAAAACAATATTATTTTCTAATAGTGTGTGTTGGACACATCAGATTTTTAAAAGACGCATAAGTATCTCTCAACATTTTACTGAATAATTTCGGAATCTCTGATCAATGGCGCTTTCTTATTTTACTCATGTAAACTTTTTTATATATAAATGAAAAACAATTAAAAAAAAAACACCATGTATATCAAAAAGAAAACAAAATTTAACCATGTTTTATTGCTTATCGAACCAACTATCTTAATTTTTGGAAAAACTATCCAATTTTATAAACTGGACCACCCTGTATATCTACGTTCAAATGAACGCATGACGTTGCATATGCCGCCTAGCTGTACTACCTAGTCACTGTTCAAAAATAAGTAAAATATTTTGTAAGCTATAAAAATTAGGGTCGTAGAAAAATTATAGTGTACAACATGTGCACAAAACACTTTTCTCACTCGTTTAATTTATGTGCTCGTAAGTGAAGTTTCGCTTTGAGAAATAGTTGCACAATATGCTATGTTAAGTTCCCTCGTTCACGATACATTTTTTTTTGAAATTCATTTGAAGTTAACATACAATTTTTGGCCAAATTTCCAACTTTTAGAAAGGAAAAAGAACAGTTAATAATAGAAATTCGGATGATGCAAAGTTTTTGAATCACACTGTATAAATTGTAAGATGTAAAATTATATCCAAAAGACACTTCATAAAGCTGTCAACAAACTGCGAAAATTTCATTAAAATCGGTCATTCTTTTTTTGAATAACCTAACAGTAAAAAGAAGTATTTTAAAATAAAACTCTACATCAAAAAAGAAACAAAATTTCACCACGATTTATCGGAAAAACTACCATTATTTTTTTATAAACTATTGTCTATATAAAATCCTAATGACGTATTTGCAAATACTTGAATTAAATAGCGCAAAAAGTAATTAAGTAGCCTATGGATTTGTATAACCTATCAGTGGAAAAGGCTCGCAAATTTAAGAGGGTTGAGACATACCTTTCCATCTTGGATACTATTTTTATTTGAAATAGTAATCGCCAAGCCTGCTACTTTATAGAAACTGTACAAGCAGTTTTCTTTAAAATAATATTTTTATTGTGTTCGACATAAAATATTTAAATTTAATCTATTATTTACGATTTTACGTATTTTAGATAGACTACATGGTATGTCGCAACCCTTTAGACATACTTAAACCTTAGCAACGCGTTTGAGTTGCTCAGAATGCCTAATTTCGCAAATGAAAAAATTACTTATATAAAATGGCTGCTGTGTAGAAGTGAAAGAACAATTTTTAAGAAATAACATTGTGATTAGATACATGAAGAATCAGATTTAATACAATTATTATTAGTTATTAGGTAAGTTTTATGGTTATTATTTAAGAATCGATTATTTCTGAACATTTTATTGAATTTCGAAATTTCTGGTCAATGAGGCTTTGGTTAACGTTAGGTACACTAAAAAAGATTTGCATTTTGTAGTTTCAATATTTGATAGGTAGGAAATATTCTTCCTTTTTTGTTGTTCTCTAATGTATTAATTTTAGTTTGTTTGACTAAAAAAATGTTTTTATCAAAATTAACCTATTTGGAATAAACAGAAAGAACTTATAGAGACTGATAATGTTTTAAAACTCAAAAATTTACAATTTCAACTAATGGTTTTACGACAATTCAAACAGGGTAGTCAAGTTTTTAGAACAACACAGCTCTTGTTACAATCTTATTCTAGCCGAAACTTTATAGTTTTGACCTAAAATATTGTTGGTTACGATTTTCTATTATATTTTAATAAATTAAATTGGATGACGCTGACAAGATTGATCTTGAATTTATAAAGCATCATCGGCGCATGCCTGACGTAGCGCGGTGTCCATTTTCTGAGTAATCCAGAGAAAATCCAGGCATGGGCGTAACATAGAACGGGAATACGAGTAAAATATTAAATTTTGATTTTTAAATAGGCTAGTTTATTTTTTTTTTCTTTTAATGATGAAATCTAATTATTACTGATTGTGAATCATTATTTTTATTAATACAATTTACACACAATTTATTAATTGTGACTTCCAGGGTATACGGGGAATTTTTAAATACAGGGTGGTTCAGTTTATATATTTAAATAGATTTATATAAATGAAGATAGTGTGTTTTCTTTTTTTATATACCAATTGATAACTTTTATTAGGTATTATCTACGAAAGTCTTTGATCGATTTTAATGAAATTTTCACAATTTGTTGACAACTTTATGAGGTATATTTCGGACGTCGTATAGCTGATCCAGCGATTCCAGAAGCATGCGTACAGGGCGATTAGTTTAGTTTTCGGCACCAAAAATATTGTCCATTAATTTTTTTTATAAAGTTTTTAAATAAACTTAAAGGTACAACTTTTTTTCTTAAATTACTTTGTTTTCAAAAGGTTTGGTTTATATCTTCAGGATTTTATCAGCCGACAGATAATCGATGTTTCTTTTTTGATATACAGATTGTTTAAAGTTCTTTATTTTTTAATTAATATCTACGAAAGTTTTTGACTGATTTTAATAAAATTTTTAGTTTGTTGACAACTCTTAATGTGTTTTTCTGATATTATATAATTGATCCAGCAAGTCCAGAGGCGTGCTTAAAGGAAACTTCGTTTAGATTTCGGTCCAAAAAATATTGTCCAGTAGTTTTTTAAATTTTTCATAATTTTTTTTTAAATAAACTAACTAAAAATACAACTTTTTTCTTAAAATACTTTATTTTTGAGGGCAAATTTAAAACTAACAATTTTGTATGTTTCTGAATAACTGAACATCAAAAGAAAGCAAAACTTGATCATAGTTTATTAGACAAAGTATCTTTATTATTTTATGAAGCTATTCAGTTGGTGAAATACATCGGGAGATAT